TATGCATTATTTGGTGAACTAGCCCTTCTATTCTCTTTAGCCCTGACGTTGTACAATCTTTAGAGTAATAAGATAAAAATGATTTGCATGAACATAAAATTGAGGTTAACACTTTTTTTTAACTATCGAAATTATCCATCAATTCTGATTGCCTTCACATGAGAGTTACAATATTTAAAAAAAATTTGTTTGATAAGTGGTTTTATCCTCTTGCTGGAGATTAGTTTATTTGAGTTGAATTCTCACAGATAAATATTTATAGTAAAAATTCATTTTTTTCAAAGAATTTATAAATTTTCTTTGGGAGGATGCCAGTGAATAAAATGTGTTTAAAAAAATGTATTTCAAACAGTGTAGAATCCACACTTTTTAAACGAATTGATCCATTTTTACACACAATTATAGATTTTGTTTAATCTATGAAAAAATAAATTTTAATACTTTTTGTAATAATTTTCCTGAATTTCGCATGACGCTATTTTGTACTAAACAACTCTAGCTGAAAGTTATTTATTGTCTTCATAATTCCAAATTCTATGCCTTAGCTTTTGAAATTATTATGAATGCCAATTCATCAAGCTGAAATAAGTCAACTATACTACGTTTCACCTTAAGTTGGCACTGCAAGGAAGGGCAGGAAATGTAATACTCCGCCTTTGAAAAGTAGTTTTTCCCTATTTTGGAATTAATTGCAGTTTAAATGCGCATAGAAATATAAATGAATGTTGTATAATAAGAAAAGTTTATCTTGAAACATGCATTATAGGTTTTTCATGTTTAAATGTATTTAACTTATAAATACCTTCTCAGTAAAGCGAATGTACAAAGGTGTTTTAGTTCGGCGCTGGATTAGTTTTCAAGGCCAAGGAATTTTCGCGCTGGCTATGTTTTTACACTGGTGAGCCAGACCTTTCCATTCTCCTTGCCTTCGCTAATTCTTTCACTCGCATTGCTTAATTGTTCCTTTGGTTTTTATTATTTACTGTTAATTTGTTGTTTTTTACTAGTTATTTATTGTTAGCTCGTTTTTTATAGTTGTTATTTTTTTTTAACATTAATTGTTAATTTTTTGTTGTGATTCCTTGTTAGATTTTTTTTTTTTGTTGCTAATTACTAAATGTTAGCATGTTTCTTTTGTTAGTTTGTATTATTTTGTTACTTATTAATCGACAGCTTTTCTTCTTTTGTAAGTTATTAATCTTCAGCTTTCTTTCCTTTTTTAATTATTAATTTTAATAGTCATTAAATTCTTAACTTTTCTATTTTTTTCTTCTGTTGTTTAAAATTAGTTTCGTTTAGTTAAAAAATAAGAATATAGAAAAAAAAAAAAAAAAAAAAAAAAAAAAAAAAAAAAAAAAAAAAAAAAANCCGAGGACGGCTTGTCCAACAATGTACCCGTCCTCCTTTGAAACTAGCCCGTAGCTTCCAAATAAATAAAAATATAATTTTCTCTTATTTATTACAAACATTTATATAAATTGCACAATGAATTAGTAGTTACTAGGATAACAAATACTTGTTTACTAAGTAACCTAGTATTTCTTTTATGAAATAATTTATTACTTTTATGAAATAATTTAAATGACAAAGGTCAAGTCCGCATGAATGTCCGTTCGCCAGGATGTCGGATTCGAGAAATTCGTTGTCCGCGGGGAACTTTTGACGACCGAGAACGGGCGGTTTTTCGAACCCTGGTAAATATTATAAAACACAAATATGATCTTTTTCATGATCAATAATTTCCTGCCTATATTCACTGTTCCTTCCCCAACTAAACACCAATGTGGGATAAATTAATGTACATTAATCTACAAAAAATAAGCATATAAAAATAAATATTTATTTATTTCAAATGGCAGAGGTAATTGACATGAAAAAGCAAAAACATAGGAACAAAACAAAAAAGTAAAAAGTCATTTCCTTAGGAGCGCTCTTGCTTCCCAATATCGCTCGGTAGACGACGACCAGCGGAGGGCCCTGCAGCACAGGATGTGGCTGCCATCCAAAACAGCTTGGCTCATGCATAGAGAACAATAGGGATCAGGTGCCAGCCCTAAACGAAACAGGTGCGCGGCAAGGCAGTCATGTCCGGTATGTAGTCGAAACTGAGCCACCGCTTCGCGGCGCGGCCAGTCTGGAATGGTGTTCTGTCGAAGATATCTCCACACTTTGGTTTTTACCCTTTCTGACAATTGTTGGTGGAAATCCCCATGGATTTTTGATCTAATAATCCTTTTTAAAGCTGAAAAGGGGACTGGGCTACTAAGAGCCTGGAGAATTCTTGTGCCTCTCTTTGCCAAAACATCAGCCCTCTCATTTCCTGCAATATCACAATGCCCGGGAATCCATTGTAGGGCTACAGTTTTGCCAAAATGGTGGAGTTTGCGTATCGCATCCTGACATTTTAGAACGTCGCAATTGGAAGGGCAATGCATAGATTCAATCGAGCAAAGCGCCGCCTTCGAGTCTGAAAGGATAACCACATTTGAAAAAGACTCAATAAAACAAAAAAGCTGTTCAAGAGCAATACGGATTGCAACAACTTCCCCGTCAAAAGCAGATCTATTGGCACCCACTGGAGCACCAAAGGAGAAGAGATTACAAGAGATACCAGCTCCAGCATTTGGTTGATCCGGATGGAAAGAGCCATCTGTAAAAACTCTCAGCCAGAGCGGTTCCGGGTAACGGATTCCCATTGTCTCCAGCGCAAGAAGGTGGAGAGCAGCGGTAGATGTTTCACTTTTAACAATGTCCTGTTCAAGAGAGAGCCTGACATTAATTTTTTGGTAGTCAAGAGGGCTCACCAGTTCCACCTGACCTTCTAGTTGGGGCAGATCGATCCCAACCAATTGATCTTTGACAGTCTGAATAAATCCATTTTGAGTTTTTAAATTACGAGGAGTAAGTTGATAGTTAGTCCAGAAATTATCCATTTGGGTAAGTTTAAAGTATAGTAAGACAGCCCTTTCCCTAAAGACAACATCCAAAGGTTTAATGCCTGTGAGCAAGGTCATTGCGTCTATAGGTGTAGTTTTTACAGCACCTGTTATTAGTCTAAGGGCCTGGTTTTGTAAGACCTCAAGCTTTTGAAGTAGGGTCGATGCATTAGTGAGAAAGTTTGAGTGGCACACTTATTCAGATTTACTACCATATAAAATAAATATTTAAAACAACGCATTTATGCTCATCTATGCATTTCTTTTTTTACTTAGATTTCAGCAAAAAAGAATCTTTTTAAATATATATTTTTTTCTGTTACTTAAAATTAGTTTCCTTTAGTTAAAAAATCATAAGAAAATCTGCTTTTTAAATACTAATTAAGAAATCAGCTAACAACTAGTATCTTAAAATAATAATTATTAGAAATGCTCTAAAAAATCGTGTTTTTTTTCTGTATTCTGTTCAAAATTTTAGTACGATTCTTGATTTTAAAAAAATCAGCGTTTTGCTTTCTTAAACACCAATACTGGCCACTTTCTCTCCTTTTTTTGCTACCTCATGCGCCAACCGACTTAAAGAAAACCCCAGTTTCCATGACAACGGCTGTAATCCGGTCTACCTGCCTTTCTCTTCAGTGTCAACTTAAGGTGGAATGAACTATAAAAGAGGAACTAAGAAAACTAAAAGTAAAGCAGTTCTTCAAAGAAAAGAGGAAAATTTCACCTACTACAGGTAATTAATACTTTATTCATAATATCAAAATTCAACATCAAAATAAATATTATTTTCAATATTTTTCTAGGAGGATACTGATAGCTAATATTCTATAGCTTCAATGAAATATTTGAACATTTAATTTCTTAGAACAATATTATTGGCTTTCAAATTTTTCTTATTAATTTAATGAATCAGAGCATAAAGAGTACTATTTTATTTTAACGTAATTTATAAGCGTATTTGAAGATTTTTCAGCTAATTACACAATTAACAAAGCATTAAGTGTTTAGGAAAAGAAACATGTCAAAAAAATTCTTTCCTATTCATCAAAAAAATAAATAAAAATAATAAAATAAAGCAGTTAAACAGTCCAAAAATATATTTTATTACAAACCATTCTTTTAAAAATAATATATATAAAAAAAATCCTTAACAATGAGTATATTACAATGCATTAAATGACGAAATGAAAAAGTCAACATCTAGTCATCTTCCATGTCACTAGAGTCGCTGTTTTCACTTTCAATGAAATCTGATGTTGACATATGAGTTATCTAAATTAAGAAGACAAAAAAAGCATGATGGCAACTTTGTTTATAATTATTATAATTACAGTAAAATAAGGAAGAAAAAAATTGGCTTGAAATGTGTCGGCAAAGTTAAATGAGTTCGATCCTCTGAGTTCTTCCGATTACTACCGAGTCTTCAGAAGCAGGTTAATATGTAATTTAAGAATTTAGATATCATTTATAGATTTTTCTAGAACATTCCCTGACGTCATTTCCGTTTTCTTATTTCATTGTATTGTTCTTTTGTTTCAAATGGAAAGGACAGTTACCATGTTTTTTGTATTCTAGATAGTTGTCAATAAATCCGTTCTACTTGCCAGTGTAAAGTCTATTATTAATATGCATTATTTGGTGGAGGTGCCGGCTAGATAAGCAACCATTGAAGTCGTTCTACAAAGAAGCCAGCATTTGCAAGGATTAAAACACAAGGAAATCACAATGCCTGCAGAAATCAAGACTGAAGGCGATCCATTTTCTACAGTAGTGCAAACTTTCAACGTTAGCTATCCATCTCCATTTTCCAAAGAGACAGGTGAAGATCCGGGGATATGGTTAAACAAATACGACAGATTTGCAAAATATAATCTCTGTGACTTTGAAATGTGTTTAGATATTTCTTTCTAAATAGTACGGAAAAACGGTGGTTCGAAAATAATGAAGCTGTGTTAACAAGCTGGGGTGTATTTTAAGCAAATCTCAAAGTAACATTTACTGATAGTTTGAAACCCTTACCCCGCGATGAAGAACAATTGAAAACTCGACCTCAACTTCCTTATGAAACTAGTCTATCTTACATCCAAGATGTTTTTGCTCTGTGGCACAAATTAAAAGAAATTTGAGAGAGGATGATAAACTGGCTCATTTTATGAAAGGTGCTGTAGAAAATGTTTACCAACTGTTACAAAGAATATTACACCCTCTGTGATATTTATTGAATGGTGCCAACCTGTCGATAAATGGAAACAGCAGCGAAAAAATTTGAATGGTTATCAAATGCAACTGCTGTACCATAACTCAAAAACCATCAAGATCTGTTAATGATTAAATGCCAAGTTGTAAAGGAAGGGAGCACTCACATCTTTTCCTTTCCTTGCTCAGTTACCTCCTGGACAACTAATGCCTATACCAACAGAGGAAGCACTTTTTATAATAAAAAATATTTTTCAGTTTGTGGTTACCCTCTATGTTTTGAGGGTTAAGAATCTGAATTTGTCGAAAAGTAGGCATGTTTGTTCAGAGAGTTTTTGTAGTTTAATTAATAACAATTTTAATATCGTCAGCACTAAATAATTGTAAAGGTTCAAGGGCTTAACCTTAAAAATGCTGATTAAGTCTTAGTACTTAAAAATTTGATCATTCAGAGTGCTCTGTTGTTTTTTTACACTGTACAAGCAACAATTTAAAAATTATGTAAAATAAAATTTTTTACAAGAGTCCTAATATAAATTCTAAATAATCTTTTTTAAAATACATGACTCTAAGACTTCCACCATGTTACTTATATAGTTTCTATTCAATCATATTTAAATATATATCCCTTAAGAAAAATTACAAATAAAGCAGAATAAAAAATGGACCAACCTGAATAACTTTTGATCTAATAATCGGATCCTCAGGTTTTAGGACTCGATTATCATGGTTCATGGAGGTAGCTTTGAATTTGCTAATTAAATTAGTGTAGATCATATTGTACGTTATGAAACCAGTTGCAAAAATGTAGCCTATTTTTCGACAGATTATAATTTCTGACGCCAAAAATAATGGAGGTTGTTGCAATCTGAAAAATAGGGTCCCAATAATTTGGTCAAGGGAACAGTTCTAAGTTTGAGCCCCTTAAAGTCAATTTAACTTTTTGTATATTTCAACCTATCTCAGGCACACAATTATGAAATTTCTTTATTCAAAAATAATTCCATTAAAAAAAAAAAAAAACTTAGTAAACATTATTTCTTATTGTTTAATTTAATAAGAGTCGAAAACGCAAATTTTTCAAAATTTGATTTCTAAAAAAATATTTGACCGATTTCACTCAAATTTTGTACATTCCCCATTTAAAATTGCATTCTTTAAAATTAATAATGTAAAAAATTGCAAACCTTACAAATCAATTTTTGTTCAAATAATATTAAATACTTAAAATTATATTTTGTATGTAATTATCTTTGGATAAATTATAATGGAGTTATCTGAAAATCAAATCATATTCATTTAAATTTTTTTTTTCCCGCACTGTACTTATAGATTAATACTAATAACTACAAAATTTTATTTCTTTACCTTAGTTTCAGAATCAAAATCACCAACTCCAGCATCATTTTCTTCCTCGGATTCTAAAAAAAATTTGAAATTATTTAATTTTAAGTCATTTATTAGTTTAGATTTGATATAATTTAGCATAAATTTTTTAGGATTTCACAAAAGACATATGTGGAACTATTACTGTGAAATGCACCTATTGAGGAATTATTTTTATACATAATATAAAAAGTACTTGACTTGAAAAATTTTACATATACCATAGAACCAGACTTATCCAAGCTAATTTGGACCAGGGTTTAAAAGAACCCAGGTTTTTTAAAAGAAGAGCCTGACCCGGGTGAGTTTTATCGGGCTTTTATAAGATATTCAAAATTCTATAGGTACAATGTTATTTTAATGTCTGAACTAAACCAGTCATTTTAANATTACTGTGAAATGCACCTAACGAGGAATTATTTTTATACATAGTATAAAAAGTACTTGACTTGAAAAATTTTACACATACCATAGAACCAGACTTATCCAAGCTAATTTGGACCAGGGTTTAAAAGAACCCAGGTTTTTTTTTAAAAAAAAGAACCTGATGCAGGTGAATTTTATCGGGCTTTTTTAAGATATTCAAAATTCTATAGGTACAATGTTATTTTAATCTCTGAACTAAACCAGTCATTTCAATAAAGCGATCAAACTTTTGTTTTAATTCTGTGAAAGGTCATTTTTGCACTTTAAAAACAATGAATTTCTTCATTGATAATGACTAAATGGTCACGAGGAAGTGATTCAAAAAACCATTTCTTTTGATGTTGGTTTATAATGGAGATAAAGCACATTCTTCGTAAAGCTTTATAGATGTATGTATTTTAATGAAAATAACCAGTGCAACAAAAATTAAAAATTTTAAAGGAAGTGAAAAGAACAATTTCTTTTCCTAAATAAGTCTAGTATTTATGAGTAAATATTTGTTATGGTTATGTTTATTTATAATATTACCTCACATTATATTATCCATTTTTGTTTAAATCACAGGGGTCGTTACATAGAACATGGAATGCATACAAACAAACTTTGTTGGGAGGCTTATGGGAAAAAGAAGAATATATAAAGAATTATTTCAAAATTAAAATTTCAAAATTTATATATTTTAAAAATATTCCCATTCTAAGAGAAATTAGCAGTGAAATCATATTACTGAATAAGTGCCTGTTCGGAATAGTCAAAATTATAAAAAAAAAGTAATTTATGTGTAATACTATAAATTGGTGAGAAACCAAAGAATAGTGATGTTTTATAATCATCTTGGTTATAACATTAAGAGTAGTGTTTTTCAAAGGAATGGAAGTTTCGATTCAGATAAACATGAATTTTGGATTAGTTCAATTGCAATTCCTTACAAATTAAACATGATGCAATATAAAAATAAATCAGGGTTGCTAAATATTACAAATAATTTTCTATGTAATTTAATAAAAATAATTCAAAAGAAAGGCTCCTCTTTTAGAAGAAACTTTTAGACACTTTGCTTTTTCATGAAGTTTTTCTAAATATTTTGCATTTTTAAATTTAAAAAATGCATGAGACTCATTAGAAAGTCTTTCGATAAAGAATTTCAATATAGACACGTTGAAAAAACAAGAATACATAAAAAATGACAGCACCAACAGAATTTTTTACAATTAATTTCTGTCACAGGATGTAATAAATCTTATTTTGCTTGTGCATAATGTACCTTTTTTATCAGACTTGTGACCAATTCAAAATTGTACTAGTCCAGTAATTGCATTTTGTTACAATCTTCTCTTAAAATGAATATAGTTGAAAAATATATAATCTTGCTAATTTAAGTCTCAAGATTCCTTACTTTTTTCCTAGAACATCCCAAAATTTCTTTCAATTTATACCAGTTCTTGAATAGTTTGAATATTGGTCCAAATTAATTTTGCTTTTCTTTTACACAAAACAAAAATAATTAGAGACTTTTATAAATCTTTAACATTTTACCTAAGAAAATGCTGAAGATTTTGTAGAAAGTTTTAAGATTTTAATGAATTAGAATGAATGATAAGAATTTAATGAGACAAGAGGGATTAATACCTGAATTGTATTCAACTAAAGGCTTGTTTGAAAAATCAGAAGAATTTGAAGATACTAACTTGGCCTGAAAAACAATTTAAATAAGCAATGAGTCGTTTGGATATTTAAAAGTTCAAAATATTTATATTATATCTAAATATAAAAAATATTTATTTTCTTACAATGTAAAAGGCACAGTATTATTTTAACAAACTAATAATAATTTAATAAATTTATACCAGACAATTATTTTAGCAAATAAGACTGAGCTCAAGATTATTAGTGCAACAAAAATTATAACTAAAGAAATTTGCTCATTTACGTCGCACTAGAGCTGCACAATGGGCTATTGGCGATGATCTGGGAACATCCCTGAGGATGAACCGAAGACATGTCATCACAATTTTGATGGCACTACTGATTCGGTAGCACGACGACCTGCAAGTCAAGCACTTTATGGTAGAACAGTTTAACGAGGACCAATACTAAAGAAATTTGTAAGCAAGATAATTTGCGGACAGTGTTTTTGCCTTCTGAAACTTTGTTTAAGTGTCAAAGGGTTAAAGTAATTTTAATTTAAAATGTGTAGGCACTTTACAGATAGTGAACTGTTCAATCCATTGATGATTCAATTTCAATTTTTTCATGCAAAGCTAATGATGTCGTAAATATTACGATTAACTGAATACCTGCATGGTTGATTCTGTGTTAAGAAATTTCTTGAACTTAGATCTTAATTTTATATGTAAATGAAATCTAAAATTACTCAATTCTGTAATTTAAAAAGAATGCAAACTGTTATTAGAAAAATTATAATATCCTAACTTAACCATTAGGATATTCTTTTAATCGAGAATAATTTTTCACATTTCTTTATTAATGTCTTGCAGTTAGCAAGCTTAGGCTTACTTTTAGATGTCCGAGGAATTATAATCTGAGCAAGACAAAGCTTTACTTAGAGCCCTGAGATATACGTCGGATAAAGACCAAATTTTGCAGTCTCGTCACTAATTCATGTCAATTTTCATGTCTAATACAGTAAATTTAAAACATTTTCTAATGCTAACCAATGAAAGAAGCAAACAGAAAAACTGAACCAACTGAAAATCCAAAGAAAAAAAAAATTATAAGCTAAATAAAAGTAATTTGACAATAAACGCAAGCCTCACAAAGCAAACCGAAGTAGCGATCTTCTAGAATAGAATCTCCCACATTGACTGAAACAAACGTTTTTTTTAAAGTAGTAAAAAAATTGATGAAAATTTTATCATGAATCTGAGCCCTCCTGAATGTGAAATTTTTTTTTAGTAAGCGAGCTTGGCTTATTTTTAGTTTCTGATACCCCACATTCTGGTGACTATCTAATTAAATAGTTTTCTTGCTATTTACAATTTCAGGGCTCAGCATGGGTCATAGTAGAAAAAGTAGTGAAAAAAGTGATTAAAATTTTTTAAAAAGTGATAAATAGTGACTAATATTCAGGCAACATCCTAATAAACTTAAAAATATACAACTTAAAGGAAAAAAATTGGTTTAGAAACATTTATTGTTCTACCTGTTTATTGCTTTAATTTACTGCTATTGAATTCTTTTTTTTTAAAAAATTACATAAATATTTTCTAATTTATCCCAATTTAAAAAAAAAGTTGCATATTTGACTTTAGCTGCTATGGCTTAAAGTATTGTATTACAGAAGCAGGGAAAGCATACAACAAAAATATTGTTGCTGTCATGTAAAGTCAATACACATTTATTGAGATGTGCTTCTCTTCAGGAGTCAAAAAANNAAAAAAAAAAAAAAACGTTAAATATGTAACTATTATTTAAAAAAAAATAAAAAAAGTACTTTAACAATTGAAATGGCGCAAAACAAATGTCGCTAAAAGTGATGAATGAAATAAAAAATAATATATTAAAAGTATCAAAATTGGAAATGTGTGCGAAACTGCATTGTTTAAAAGATATAATTAAAGAAAATAAAAATGGTTGCAAACCTCTCAGGAAAAAAAAAAAAGAAAGAAAAAAAGTGGAATCACGATAGAACCGTTAAAAGTGATTTTTGAATAAATCATTAACAAATTGCGGGTACAACATCACATTAATCAAAAATATAACACCGTATTAATATGAAATTAAATGAATGCAAAAACTGTCGGAAAACATTAATTTACAATATAATCGCCCTGAATCGAGTATATAAAAAAAGTTAACTTTAAGGTGAAAAAGGCAAGTAATAACATCGTATTAAAAAACCATGAGGAAAGGGCTGAAAAAATTATAAAAATTCGCCTGAGTGCCTAAGGTAAACACTGGAAATAAAACTATAAGAAATTACGATGAAATCAAATACGTCAAAGAACGATTTTCGAATAAATCATTAACAAGTAGTTGTTACTGAAATACATGTCACATAATAAACATCGTATGTATTAACTAAAATATGAAGATTTAAAAACCATGGGAGAAAAAAAATTTATCGAAACTTTGTCAATCATTTGACTGATAAAACGATTATAAAACCAAGTAAGTTTACGGTGATTCAATTTGAAATTCTCCAATTTAAATAACATTGTATAAAAAAACAGCACAATTTGAAAAACCACATAGAAAGGACTGAAAAATTCTTAATAACATAAAAAATAATATAAAAAAACATGAAACGGTGTGAAATTAAAAAGAGATTACTCAAATTCGCATGATATAATAACATCTCATTAAAAAATAATCAAATTTTTGAAAAGGGTAAAAAAAAAAAAAAATCTTGATCGTTTTTTCTTTTTAAAACTTTTTTTATTTGTGATATTCACCTGAATTAGTATCGAAAACGAATGTTCTGCAGCTCCACAGCTGATAAGAAAACAAAACCTTAGATAGATGATAACTAAAATCATTCCTCGATACAGTGAATGGCTCTCTTGTATTTTAAGTGGAATTAATTTGAAAGTGGAAATTGTCTATTAAATCCTCTTTTATGCCTCACCCATAGTCCTTCTACACTAGAGTAAGAGGATTGTAATATCACGGGTTTAGGGAAATGTGAAATCTTTATTTTGATTGAAATGGGGGTAAAATTTAAAAAAAAAGTGAGATAAGTGACTAAGCGTTAAAAACAGTGAATAAAAGTTACTATTTTTTAAGATAGTGACATTAAGTGAGAAAAGTGGCTCACGCCTAGCCCTGCAATTTTTATTAATACACAAATGAGAATAACCCATCCTCAACACAGATTAACCTTTTATTGTTGATGATAAAAAAAATTAATAAACCAAATTAAAAAGTTGTTAAACATTAATTATGAAACATAATTAACCAAAAAAAAATAAGAATGATGCAAAAGCAGAAACAAAATAAAACGAATTTACCTGTGCCATAAGTATGGACAATATACCTCGTGCTCGAGCAAGTTGACTAACTGCATCCCTTCTGGCAGCAATGAATTGATCAAAAGTAGCAATACATTGACATATGTCTGGACTCTAAAAAGGAGAATACGAAATTGTAATAATTTATGAGCATTACAAACTGCAGATTTTTCTACTTAAGAGTCAAATTGAAGAAGTCTGAAACGCAATTAAATATGAAATACAGTGCAACCTCGAAAATCCGGACTGCTGGAGGGTTTGGAAGGTCCGGATTTCCGAAATTTCCGGATTTTAGATACCTTACTTGAATTGATAGAGTTATCGAAGTTTCGAATTCGTCAGGCCGATTTCACGATTAATCACGCGTGTGTAGACCTCCGACGTCAATTTTAACATAAATATACTCTTTAAATGATAAATAAAAGACAGTAAAAATCAAACTTTCGTCATTTTCCTCCGCAATCGATCGTTTAGATAACATAATATTAGCAATTAAAACTAAAAATATAGGCTTAAAACGCGAGCTGAATTTCAACTTATAACCGAAACAAATGCTTCTAGACTAGACTGTACCAGCTGATACTAAGCCTTTTTTTGTTGGGGGATGAAAGAACTTGTCCCCGGTTCCTAAGCTTCAAGGTTAAGAAAGAACCAGTTTTCTTTCATCACAAGGGGGAAAAACAAGGAGATGGAAGAATTCCTCCTTCTGAGGAGATTCCCCTTCAGGAGGAGGGGGATTCCCCTTTATATTCTTTGTCATCCATACAGAGCTGATAAGAATGACTGGAATTTCCTTATCAGCTATGAGCTGTCATTCACACCCCACCTCTACCTCTTCATCTACTGCTTCATTGTTGGAGAAGAGTTGTGGTTTTGCCTTAAAATTTTTAGTTTAAGCGATTTTTTTAAAATTTTTTCTTTTGAAATTTTTTTCTGAGGAACTGGACGAATGAGTCCGGATTTTGGAGATTTCCGGATTTCAGAAGTCCGGAATTTTCAGGTCGTACTGTATATTTCAAATATTGGGATTAATGTTACAAATATTAACAGAATTATAAGTGTTTCATATAATTATTATACTACTGATTTTAATCAATTAGAGAAGCATTCAATATTAGAGATAAAAAAAGATTAAATAATATTAACTTACTGATATAAAATATGACAGATGAATCGTTATGAGAGCAGTCAACCACTTCAGGCAAGTCCTTGAGGAGGGGAAAAAAATATACATATTGAAAAGGAAATGCAAGATGTCAGAAGATTTGAAGAAATTACTATTCAATATAATTAATAAATACATTTCATTGATAATGTAGTTTTACTAAAAAATAAAAAAGGGATATACATGCAAATTATTATATTATTATAATAACAGTAATAATATCATATTTCTTTCATTATGTCATTGAAAAAACATTAGTTTAAAAAAAAATTTAAATCACAATCAATTTAAAATTATTAACGTGAGCATATATAATATTTTTTATTCAATGTAATCAATAATGAGATTTTTAGGTAGAATGTGATTTTATTTAAAGTCTTATTTCATTGATAATGAAGGTTTTTCACTAATAAATAATGAAAGGGATATACATGTAAATTATTATTATTTTTTTTCAAAATAGATTTAAAAAAAGAAGACTAAACATAGATTAGAGTAACAAGAAACTTTTAAATTATAATTCTACATTAAATGTATGAACAATAAATTTGCTGGAAAAAAAACACCTATTTCAATTATATCCTTAAATTTTATGCTTATTAAAATACAGTGTTATTTAAACTTTTAAAAGTAGACTAAACGTAGATGAGAGTAGCAAGAAACTTTTAAATTATAATTTTACATTAAATGTATTTAAATTTGCTCGACACGTCATCACCTGTAGAAATACTGCTCAGCAATTTCAGTTTCTTAGAACAACCTATGAAAGACTAGCCATTTTGAACAAATGATCAATATGGGTGGCATTTTTCAGGAAAGTGCACTTCTTTACATTCACATCCATTAGGTTAAAGAAAACTTTATTTGTATTAGAGTATAAATGGACTTATGTTGTTTCCTCATATATACCCCCTCCACCTCAACAGATTCATTTCACACAACTCTTTTATTCGACTGTAGCAATTATCAACACTATAAAAAATAATTCGAACTCTTATATATCTGGAACTGTGAAAGATCAGTTTTCTTACCTCCCAGAGGGGAAATTTTTTTTCTGTTTATGCTAAAATTTTTTCCAAGGGTAATGAAATTAGAGTCCACCTTAAAATATATTTGTATGCAATTTGACAAAGTATTCAATATTAGTCCATGTTCACATTAACGAGGTTTGACTGTATATGGATATTGTAACATAAATTTATGAGAGTGATAAAAGCTTATTTAACAGAATTTGAAAGCATTACTCACCTAGGGTTTAGTTTATGCAATCTTATGAAAAGAACTTCGAGTAAGGAAAATATCGATTGAATAGGGAGCCTTTCAATGGTGTTCATAATAACCAGTTCGTTGCTACAACCAAACACAGTCTAAAAAATAAATGTATAGTCTATATCTTTACTGTAATTGTAAACATTTTATGCTCATCAAAAAGACATTTTCAAATATGAAAACTTGGTTTACAAATACATACTCCAGTAAAAACATTGAAATAAAGTCTAAAATTCATTTGGTAAGTACCAGAAAAAATTATGATTATGATTAAACAAACAATTCTTAAAACAAAAAATAACACAAGTCTAAAATAGTGTTTTCATTGTTTGAATAAGTATAAATGTTAGCGTATGTCTTTTTCTTTTTTTTTGGTTGATTATCATAAAATATCAAATCACAAATTTTAAGAACAGTTCTCAAATTTTCCTAAAACTTCATGATTTGAAACTATAACTTGCACTTTCCGGTACTTTATCGAAAAATAAAAAAACCCATTCACTTAAACAGTTAAATTGAATCTCTACTTTTAAAAATATTCATTTGAAAGTTAGCATTTTTTGAGAGACTAATGACAAGTGTTAAAAATCTTCACAGCATAAAAGCATTTGCTTGACAAGTTCTTTAAAGATTACTAGATGCGATCTAAAGTTAATATTCTCATTAATTATTTTTTAATCTCACATTGCTTCTATTTATAGTTTTGGGTTCTCATGACAAATATTAACTAACCAAATAAGCACAGCAAAAATTGAAAATTAAACGAACAACTAATTTCAAAGTTAAAATGGTTGCTCTAATAATAATAGGTGATGACACATTTCAAAACTGGAACGATTCAGCTATCCATATTTATAAAATTTTAACTCACAAATCTTTTTAAATCCTTCCACCAATAAGACAATTAAAAAAATAAAATTTTCAGGGGGGAAAAATTGAATTTCATTTTAAAATAAAAATGAAGTTTTCTATAACCGGTCTAGACCTTTATAATAGAACAAGATAAAATTTAAAAAAACTTTTTTTTTTACGTTATGGTGCACATAACAAGTTCTCCAAATAAAGATTCCTTCCTTAAATGGACAAAATGTTACTGTTACAATTTTTAGTGTAGATATGAGTAAAATAACTTCCTAACTTTTTTGTTTTTTAACAATAGCATAACTTACATTAAGCATGTTGTTATCCCTACTTTGAAGACCTTGTAACAGCAGATGAACCATACTATCAGATTTCACAGCAGCTTCATTTTCAGAAATTTCGTTTGGAGATTTTTTCAAATCAAGAGCTTTTAAGCGTTCTTCCATAGGTAACTATAAATGAAAAAGAACTTAATTCATCTTTATTCATTGGAAACTAAATAAATAAAAAGCTAATCAAAATCAATGAGCTTTATTTTATAAGCTTTTCCTTTTTTTTTTCCTGTGTAAAATCTTTATTAAGTAAAACTAGAAATATTATAGATAATTTATCTCTCAGTTCATAAATAGTAAAAATTATATTATAAATAGTAAAAATAGGTGAGATATAACAGTAGTTATTAAGTATTCTCAAAAACACAAAGATTCCCAAACAATTTACAGAAAGTTAAATGTATATATAAAAAATTAAGAATAATGTTTTCTTCCATGTAGGTAAGTTATCATATTTTAATATATATTATTAAAGTCAACCTTTTTAAAAAGCAAGCATTTAAGCAGACTTGGAAAGTTGAAATTCTTAAATTCATTAAAAGTGCTTGGTTCATGCAACACTATATTAAAACATTGCGCACTTCCATACTTAATATTAAATTATAAATACTCTACATTTATAACTTTAACTGATTACTTATAATTATAAATGCTAGACATTTTTTTTAAAAAAAATTAAAAAGTAGTTTTTATAAAGAACTTGCAAAAATGTATATTTTGCATAAAATATTTTTTCTAGCCCTTTTGAAATAAATTTTGACTTTGTCAAACTTCATCAAGAAAAATAAAGTTATCACTTTTACACATAAATACATTTTCAAGTTTCAAATATTTCAATAAATCTTGTTAAAGTACATAGTATAGATGTTAAAGATTAACATAAAAATCTACCAATCTTATATTTTTATTTTTATCTTATATTTCATTATATAGATATCTTATATTAATCTTAAATTTTACATTTTAGACAACAGCAACAAAAAAAATAAATAAATGAATCACGGCAAATAATTAATTAAGTTTACTTGTACTTAACATGTAAAGTTGAAATTATTTGCCATCATTTTTTTTCTTCTAACTCGGGCAATAAAATTCTTCTTTTCTTTTAAAGTTTTCCTTAAACTATTAGATTTTGGCAGCTAAGTCATATCATTTCGTTTCCCTGCTTTACAGCAAATTCATCAGCGGACTTAGTAAGTTCATTTATGCAACGCAATAATCTAAGGACTAATTTGGAAATCTAAGTAGTTCCAAGTACTCCTTGGAGACTTATTTATTTCCAAGGAGTCTGTACAAACCCTGATATATATATGTATGTATATATATACATATATANTTGCAGGTTATGCACAGTAAATAAAACTTATTGTTTTTCTTAATTTTTTCTTTTGGTCCCTCATGTATTTATTTATTATGAGATATATATATATATATATTACACACATAAATAAAATAACACATTTGCTGCCATGGGACACATATGTCCTGTCTCAGTCTAATTTTGGCACTTAACACGTTAAGAACTTTGATTTATTATACATAAAAAAATTTATTAATAAAATATAATTAAAACAGTCCATAAATTATACCCACTTCTTTTATATCCAGGTTTTTTTTCTTCCTTTTCTTTGAGGAACTTTCTAAAAAACTTAGATTTGTCATATGGCCAGGAACTAATAATTTAACATTACTTGACTTTTCTGTTTGCTTAATCTGTTGAAAAGATTTTAAAAAGTTTGAGTTATAACAGCTGTAAAGATGTGTACATGCTATAATGGCTGTACACATATTACTAAGTGACGAAATTTTATGCTTATTTTAATTACATAATACACATAAGCATTGTTTAAAAAAATACTAGAGTTTTTTGTACTTCACTTTATTTCAACCACAACCTCATTGGGTTTTCATACAATTTAACAAAGAGAAATTTGTAGCCAAACAAATAATTTAATATCATTATTGAAAATTGTCGAAAATTAATTTGAAATATATTGCATGGAGTACAACCATAACAAGAATTATATCTTGGACACAGTTGGGCTCAATATGTGTCCTATATGTACATGCTCTGAGGGACCAATATCTGGAAGTCTAAATTTTTTAATATTAGTGACATGCAGTGTCAATATCGGCCTACATAGGACCAATATAGGGCTTATATTGGCTGAATAATGACCATAAAATATCGGGTGAATCTGACAATTTCATATAAGGCCCATATCCGAAAAATATCGGCCTTTTGACCCCTTATTAAGCCAAGATTCGTGAATATTGGCCTAATGAGGGCACAAGTTAATTAAAAAATTAAAAGAGACACTACAATAGGAAATTGATGTTTTAATTTATTTAATAAAAATATCTATCCCAGAACTAATAAGCTTTTATTATCACTTAACTTGTTAAATTAGATAATTTTCATGTAATTAAAATTGTCTTTGTTATGTACACAAACTTAGATTAGGTATTGCTCCACCTAGATAAAAAAATATAGTAATCTAAAAAAATATAAATATTAAAATATTTATGTTTTTAGAGTTCTTTAGACATTAAGAGAATAAAAATATGACCAAAAGAACTTGGCAACACTTGCATATTCAAAATAGCGTGCTTCCGTTTGCGTGCAATCTCTTTTAATTTATGTATTCTCAGAATTTTGAAGTAAATACAACTATATTTTTGTCATATATTGTGTAAAATAGTTATGCTTGTTCTAATTAAGTAATAATTGTATGTAGTTATTTAGTATCAGATTTGGAAATTTTGTTTTGTGGGATATACTGTTCCAGTTGTACTTACTATTGGGACAATATATCCCGATTGTACTTACCAGTGGGACAATATATTCTATAAAGAGATAAATCGTTTTGATTATGTTATAGCGGCAACTTCTGGTAAGAATAATTCAGTGCATTTATATTATTCCCATGCAGTAAATAAGTATTTTAACAATATTCAAGATGATAGGGACATACTGTACCAGGAGTTTAGGGGGGGGGAGAAAGTGGAAAATTTTAAGCTCTTAGTACACTTATTTTAATATGTCAGCATTAACATAAACGGCTTTTCATACCGAAAATTTTAATGGTGCAAAAGTTGGGTCGAAAGAGTTAAAAACTGCATTGACACAATAAAATAAATAAACTTGTAGTAAAAATGTTGCTTTAAAAATCTTACTTTACTAATACTATCTTTTCCACTAGATGATGCATCAGTGATACTCCTGATTAGAAATACATCTTTAGTAACATCAGAAATATTCTACAATAAAGAAAATCACAATTAAAATTTAGTTCAATGGTTCCAAATAAAGAATATTCATAAGGAAGTAAAACTATTTTAAAATATTCCTAAATCTAAAATAAGAGATAACATAGGTTTACCTATTCTAAAATTAAGGCTCTTAGAGAGACAACAGCAAACTTATGAATGTAATACACAGTCATGAAATTGCAAAAAAGGTAAAAGCTATATACGTTTGAAAAACCAATCACGAAAAATATCTTTAGTAACTAACGATATTTTTATTCAAATGCTGCTTCTTTCAATAAAAAACATCAAATTCAATAGCATACTTGCCAACCTCTATCAATAAAATTTCGATAGAAATTACTTTAAATGCAGAAGATTTTACATCTTTTCAATTTTTATTCCTTATTCAACGAATCAACAGTGCGGTCAATGGAGTTCACAAGTGGAATTTAGTTTTTTAAAATAATCAGTTCAAATAAATCTGAACAAGAAGAAAACTATAATTCTCTTTATTTAATTATTTTTGTACTGTTTAATATCTTATATATTGCATTAAATAATGACCTTCAACAGTGATCAGGTTGAAATGTAGGGAAGATTGAACATATTTTTGTCTGAGCAGAACAGGATCCATGTGTGCGCATAATTTGTTCTAAAAAATTACAAAAGTTTAATGCACGTTTTCAGAATACAGAGGATATGAATTTCAGTATAGAAAACAGAATATGTAGTGCAAAAGCTAAAATCTACTTTAAAATGTAGCAGAGTTCGCAGCTAATAATAATTTACAGAAAGGTTTCTAAACAAGACATTTTATATAGAATATTACTAATATATCAATTTTTCAAAGAAAGCTTTTATGTGTATCTAAGATTTAATCTAAATATGAAAGACTGACAGCAAAAATGACCATAGAAACCACACTTTGATTGACAAAACTTTTTTTAAAAAAATTACTTAAATAAGGCACAATGAAAATTTCAACCATCAGCATTTGATTTCATATTTATGAACTCATGTATTCAAAGCTTAATTTGTATACATTTTGAAAGAAAAATGATTATGTTAAAAAAATTTTTGGAAAAAAAAAAAAAAAAAAGCAGAGCTTGAAATCGCTATTTGGAGGAAAGATTTCATAAAAGAGCAAAAACATAAAAAAATAAGAAGTATTATAAAAATAAATAAATTTCTATAAACTATAATAAAAAAAGAATATAACACAATATATTTTTATTTAAAACTGAAGTGAGTCTTAAATAAATATATATCAAGAGAAATAATAATAAGTTTGAAATTTAATACATAAAATATAGAAGAAGCAAACTTACAATTCTTTCAAACATTGGCTTTAAAAAATTTCCATAAGCTAGTAAACTAAGGTCAAGTCCACTTGATATTTTAGCAGCAAGAACAGGCAAAACTTGTGCTTTCTGGCTTTCGTTAGATTTTGAAGCAATTCTTATCGAGAATTTTGGTTGCAAAGGTTTGGTTTTCACATTCCTGAAATTAAAAATCCGACAAAATTAAAACATTGTTTTATTAAAATAAGCAGAAAATTTTAATGAATTTTAAATTTACCCATTGAATAGGTGCTCAAAGAAATGAAATGAACCATCTTGAGAAACAATTGACATTTGCAGCGACTAAAAATATAAAACATTAAAAAAATTAGGAATCTTAAAATAAAAGTGATACACGTATTAATTATGCATGAATGTTTAGGTCTAACTATTAAGCTTACATTGTAGGTGTAAGAGAATATTAAAGTATAAAATTTGACACATTAAAATTATAGACAAAAATTGAAAGTCATTAATATTTATTATTAAAATTTTCATTGATAATTATTTATTGAGCATAAAAAGTCATAATATGGACAGAGCTCAGTGAAATGTAAACTATGACAAGTCATTATAATTATTTTTTAGTAAAATATAAATCTTATTTGATTGGTCAGTTTCCACACAATAATGCATTTCTCACATTTTGTTTGCTTGGCACCCAATTCATGTGATTAATCTGAAAAACAGTGCATTAAATTTAATCTATGCAAATGGAGAACAAATAGCACTTGTTATATGGATGTTATAACAGATGATTTATTGGATGATAGGTACAATTTGTTTATAATGTATTTTTTATGAAAGGAGGTAATTCATGGCTTACCATGAAGATCTTATTTCGCATAAAACTAGTTAAATCAAAAGGTTTTTAACTATAAATATTTTGCATATTATAGCATCAATTTTAAGTTTGCAAGGCTCCATTTTAATTCAGCAAATCAGACATATTCTTTGTCAAAGTTTTGGTATGTGAAGAAAAGATCATAAAACACATCAGTAGCAGGAATTTAAAAAAAAAAAAAAATAGTAACAAAAGCCAATTTCTACATAAAATCTCTGCATAAGGGGGTAAAGAGCTTAAAGTGTTGACTAAGAGAATATTCCTTAAGAAACAGTTTTAAGGACAATTCACTTCCTTTTTTATTTCAATTGAGAAGTATATCGGACATAACAAATCAAGTCTGGTAAAATACATTTTATATTATTTGGTTTAGTATTATAAAATTTTCCATAGGAATTTGTCAAAAACTGAAATATAATCATCAATATCCAAGAATGTTGGAATCAACAGGATAGAAAAAAAGTCATAACATGGACAGAGCTCAGTGAAATGTAAACTATGACAAGTCATTATAATTATTTTTTAGTAAAATATAAATCTTATTTGATTGAACAGTTTCCACACAATAATGCATTTCTCACATTTTGCTTGCTTGGCACCTAATTAAATAATCGATAAAAAAAAACAATGATAAAAATTACAATTAAAAAAATAAATAAAATATTAAAAAAAAACAAACATATTCAGTATTTTCACTTTACATTACAGCTAGTTGGTTTACAAATATGGCATTAGAAACACCAGCAATATAATTACTAATTACTTGTGAACTGTGAAATGCTATATTTTTCGCTAACAGCTGATCTGAAGTTTTGATATTTGCAGAAAACTGCAATTATTTGGTTAATTAAATTGTTTCATTAATTTTGAATGTATGTGGAATGTTCATTAATTGTGAATGTATGTGTAACCAAATATCCAAAAATTTAAATTTTTTTTCATGACTATTGAATTGCTGTTGTTTCTAATGCCACTTGCTATAACAGCAAGCCTGCTTTGTGAAACCAAGCAATTTAAGGCAGAGGGCGCGTTTCTTGTTTTCTAGCAGTGTCAGTTATGGCCAAGCATACGATTTCAGCCTCACACACACATCACTTCCCAGTTTATAGGGCGGACCCATTTATGCATCCATTTATTAAACCACAGATCACAGTTTTGACCTGAATGATCAAACTTCAATTCAGTACCCCCAGAATCATTGGTTTGTGATGTGAACTTGGAGGACATTGTGACCCAACAGGTTTAACGTGCACCAATCATCATTTGCTACGCGAGGAGTCTTCAACCTGCAAGGATCTAACTCACAACCACTTGGACATGGGCCCAGCGTCTTACCAACCAGGCTACCTTGGCCCATTGAAGTGGTAATAATATGAATAATGTACTTGACTAAGAGATGAAATCAAATTTTTGAAACAACTAATGTCCATTACACAAAATTTAATTCAATATTCTGTTATATTATTATTATTGTACCTAAGTTAAATAATTATCTTTATCAAGAACATAAAAAAATTTTAAACAGAAATTTTTCTGCAATTTTAGAATTGTCGACATTTTGATAAAAATCGTGTGAAAAAAAAGCAGAATTCTAGAAATTTTCTAACATTAAAGTAAATGGCTGGATAGCCAAATGATTTCTGATTAACTTTTTCGCAGGAAAATTGTGAGTTTAATTCTCACTTAAGTTTGGTCACCAACTTATCAGTTGTAAATTGCAATCCCAGTCTTTGAAACGGAATAACAATCCCATACCAGGAACTGCTTCTGAGGCCTATTTATACGAAACTGGACATACTATTATTGTTATACAAGAATAGTATAAAAGAAACATTTTTAAATGAGAAACATATTTGCACTCTGTACTGTTTTTACCTTTACTTTTCGGTTTTATTCTTGGCTAACGTTTTTCAGCTTTTCACCCTTTTTTTTGTGTTGGCAACTTTACATTTTATATTTGAAATAATTTTTTTCCCTCACACAGATCTGGCCTGCACCAACTTTTGCCCTTGAAACATGTAGACTTTTATTACCGCCTTCATATTTTTTGAAGCCAATGAAGTTTTTTTTAACGAAGTATGATTGCATACATTCAACTGGTGTGTATATCTATCTAAACTAATGACACTATAAACACATCCATGTGTTTCAATTGAAATTGAAAGCGTAGAAAAATATTTCAAAACATTATTATCAATTTTAGCAATTCAGTAATCATAATGTAATATTATAGTAACTATGAATAGAAAAGAATAAAACAGAAATATAAAATCAAATAAATAGAATAAATTGAATATATGTACTTCATTCCCTTTACAAAGAATATCAATGTTTGCCGGTTCATCAGGCAATACAAATGATGCTTTGGAACTAGTAGTACTCTCTTTCTTGAAATGCCTGCAAGCAATGAAAAAAAAATTATTTCACCAACAAGTAAATAACAATGATATATGTCAACTCTTTCATGTCTATATGCTTCCTATATATTTACAAAACTTAAATTAACGAAAAATGGATTAAGAATAAAATTCTTTTCAAAAGACTTTTTGCAGATGCTTTGAAATTATTTTTCAAACAGTTTAAAATTAATTTAAACAGAGTCAGAAGTTCTATATCGAGTTAAAATGTTTACAGTTCATTTGTGAAAAGACAGAAATAATTTTCAATATCTTTTAGGTTTGTCTACACTTTATTCTATTATACCAATAAATAAATAAATAAAACATTTGCATAAATGATTGAAGCTTGTAGGAGCAAATTTCAGATTTTATTCAGTTAATTTCATTTAAATATGAGTAGCATAATCCATACCAAAAGTGCTCATAAACAAAAATATACATAAAAAAAAAAAAAACATTTAAAAAGCAAATCACTTTTTAAATACTGGATTCTTCACATGTGCTCCTAAAGATTAAGAACTGAAATAAAATTTAAAAGCTACAATGCTAAGGACTTATATAATTCATAAAATAAACATAATCAAGCTGATAATAAAAAATAATGCATCAAGTCTTTACCAGGCATTGATAACTCGATCTCCAACGGCAGCAGACACAAAATAATCACAACTATTTCCAGCAATAAGAGGTATAAGTTTAAATATTTCAGATCCATGCCCATTAAAAACCTATAAGTAATGATTAAAATGTTAATAATTTTAAAAGATTCATCTGCTGGCCTCATCTATTTGAAAATACATATACACACATTTATATATATTTGATTACTAACTGTGAACAATAAATAAGAAACAACTGATATTTGAACTTGGGATCAGCCTAAGAATTTTCTTTTTAATCAAAGGATTTAAACTTCACAAAATGTAAAATGAGTAAATAAATGTATAAAATAATAAGCATATATATGGCATGCACAACTCCATAACCTTTTATGGCAAATACTAATGAATAAATGATCTAACAAAAAAGAAAGAAAACAGTCATAGTTCTGTTTTATGGAGATATTTGGATGTCATGATATGTCAAGTTTCAAATGTGAAATACTTGTTCTTATTTCAACTTTCTAGTGTGTATTTTGCATGTATTTCGTCAATAAAAATAAACATGGTAAAAATAAATCTGTACAAACTTGATGTTGGAAATTTAAATAACAATTCAATCACTTTTTTCCATTTTGCTTAAATTCTATAGCCACTCCTCAATACTTATATCTAAATATTTCACTTAAAGAATCAATGTGATCTGTAGAAAATCTAATGAACTTTTCCATCAGAAATAAAGTTCTGTATTTTTATATATTAATTACTGAAAAATATTCAACTTCTCTCAAAACTAAATCTGGCAAAAGGAATTACAGTCATTTTGGAATTAGTCCACAGAAAATAAGCAACCGGTCAATTTTCACTTTATTAATTTGATGATTTTTCTAGAATTATTTACAACTTATCTGTAAATGTTAGAAAGTTTTTTTTCTTTACTTTGCATACTAGTATTAGTGTTTAGATGGATGAAAATTTGTCAAGACAGTTCAGTTTGAGTATAGCAGTCAAGATCGGTTAAGCAAAGTTTAATTTTATTGAAAATAAAAAAAAGTAGAGGTAGAATCATATCATTAATTTATTTTTATGTGAAAAAAAAAAGATATTTTTATTAGAAGTAATAATTTCAGAAACATATATTGGATTCTAAAGAATCAGATGACAATTTTTATAACAAAATAAAACCAATTATTTAAATACTTTTATATTTTAGAGAAACACTACTTTCTTTATTAACAGAACACTCGTTAGGAATTAGAGCATTAAATAAAATTTCCCCATGTTAATGCAGAATTCTACTTCATTTTGAAATTTTAAAAGTTTCTTTCGTATTTTAAATTTAAATAGATATTATGCAAAAATTTGCTTATCAGTTACTAAGCCAGGATTAAGACATTATTTGCTATGATTATGAACAGTTAAGAATTTTAAATGCTCTCCTGCCCAAACTATTGGAACCATATTTTCTAGATTTTAGTTAAGTATTAGTTCAAGGGTCAAGAATCTAAATCCTTAGGGGGAAAAAGGGCATATTTAACCTGAAAAAGTAGGGTTCTTTTATCTGATTTTGTAGCTTAAAATATTACCCACATTAATTGGGAAAGACCAATAAGATTGAAAAGCTCATTATTTGATCAAAAAATATAAATTTTACATTCTGTAAATAATTTTCGTTTAATTTACCTTTAAAACAGACTTTTGCTTGATGTCCCACCATTGGATAGAATTGCTGGCAGAAAGAATGTTATTGTCATCAACAACACAAATAGAATAAATAGGTCCAGTATGAGCTTTCCATTTCCTATTAAAAAATAAAGCATTGTATTTAATTTTTTTTCAAAAGTGACGTTTTATAAGTAAAAAAGCGATACTAATGAAAATGGTAAGAAAGTGATAGAAATGAAAATGATAAAAAAAAGTGACTTTTAAGAAAAATAGTGATTAGGTTTGTTTATTTTAATATTTAATCAAAAAAAAAAGAAAAAAATATATATATGTGGTATACTGACTATAATTTAAAAATTTTATACTGAAAAAAATAAATTTTTTCTGTATGATTTTTATAAATTTAAAAATGCGAAGAGTTTTGCACAGGTTTTATGACTTATGAATCCTCGATGCTACTGAAGCACGTAAAACCAAACGACATTAAAGTTAGATTTTTTCAGGATAAAAAAATTATTTTGGTATCTAAATTTTGCAAGTTATTTTAAGTTATATTTAAGACCAGACAATACATGTTTTGTTGAGATTATGATTAACCAAATAGTTTTAATTTCCCATACTTATTTCCGACCATTAAATTTCATAAAACACCTGTTAAATTTAGATTTGTTACATGCTGCACANGTATGGTTTTTATAAATTTAAAAATGCAAAGAGTTTTGCACAGGTTTTATGACTTATGAATCCTCGATGCTACTGAAGCATGTAAAACCAAACGACATTAAAGTTAGATTTTTTCAGGATAAAAAAATTATTTTGGTATATAAATTTTGCAAGTTATTTTAAGTTATATTTAAGACTAGACAATACATGTTTTGTTGAGATTATGATTATTCTCTAGTAACTAATACTACATGCTATTATAAATATTCAATGGTTTTTGCACAAAGAAATATTTTTAACATTTCGTTAAAACTTTTCAATCAAGTCCTGCACTTTTTTTACTGGTTTATTATTTTTACAATATATGTTTTTAAGATTCTTTAACTAATTTTATCACATAAAACTAGCCATTACTTGGCAGTAAGAAATTTTTTTTTTAAAAATTTCTATTCATTTAATAATTTTCGACATAATTCTTTAAATAACACAATTTATTTTTTGAAAAATGTTACTGATAACATAGATTAAGAATGACCTAAATGTAACCACTGTTAAAGAAAATAAATAAGTATACTAAGAAAAATATATACAAAACCAGTTTCTTTGAGTATGAAAGTTTATAAAAGGAATTGTCTTTTGAAAAGTCACAATAAGTTTTAAAATAGATAAAATAAAATGAGCAATAAAAATTAAAAGAAAAAGTTAAAACTTACCAGCAATAATTTATATAATAGCAAAATTCAACAAAAACAAACAAGTAATGTGGAGATTTTTTAATGAAGGCATGTATTTCTACAGTTGGCATGATATTTTACCATCTTGGGAAAAACCTGATTTTTCCATGGTGCTTACAGTTTATAACTTTTTCTCGCTTGAAATTTAACTGTTAAGTAAAAACATATTTTTTCATCCTCAGAAAAATGTCTAATTGTTTTTGCCAATTCTGTGAGCATCTAAAGCATAAACATTTAAAGCAGTACAGAAACAACAGGTTGGAACATTTGCTAAATTTAAAATCAAGTAAACCTGAAAAGCATATCTATTCTGGTAAATGACTAATTTGTATTGGTAGCTATACTCACATTTTAATACAACTTTCAGAAACATTCCAAATAATAATATGATGATCATCTGAACAACTATATAAAGTATCAGCATACCAGACAACATCATTAACAACTCCAGTGTGACCACCACTCTACATGAAAAAAATAGATGTATGCATATTAATTTAATACCCATCCTTCGTTCATGGTAAAACAAAATGCAAATAATCAATAAATCAGTATTATTTATAACTATGCAATCATTCAAAAAACAGTAATGCTTATGCCACTACAATCGAAAAAACTAAACTAACTCTAATATTTTTCATTATGTCCTTCCCTGTGACTATACATTTTTAGATTAAGAAAAAAGTTTTTAGAAGTTTTTTCTCCATTAATCTACCACTTAAGTACATAATTTAGTTTTTTTTAAGTTCAATTATTGTTGATTTTTAATTATTTATGTTTATAGAAAAATGTTTCAAAAATATCACAATAAAAAAAAGCATATAATTTCAGATAATTTGTAAACTATTAATTGAATGACATTACCTCATGTTGATTTAGCCTATGCTTACGTGACATAATTGATCAAAGTTAAATGATTACTTAAAAAATGCAAATGCCTTTGATACATTAGAAAAAACAATGGAATTATATACAGTTTGAATTATAACAATGCCTAATGTTAAACCAATGTGAAAAATTCATTTTCAAACCTTCCTCTTAAGCAGAAAGTCTTTATAAATGTAAAACACGTTTCTCTTTCTATTGATTAGGCAGGCATGTCATATCATTATTTACATGCAGCCAGAAATTGAATTGGTTTACAACATATGAAAAATTGGAACGAAAAATATAAGCGAAACTTAGAATCATTATACTTAATTTCTGCTAACACTAATTGTCAAAAGATTTTTTTTCAGATAAAAATCTTTTTTCTTTTTTGAGTGGCAAAATTTGGTTTATCAAGCCTGTCAACATCGAAGAAGTAAATAACTGAGATTTTACTAACGTAATTTTTCGTGCTATGAGTAAAGTTTTGATACATCATGGATAATCATGTAAGTCAAAATGAGAAAATAAAAAATTGGAAATAATATAAGCACTTACATTTAGCAAAGTAAAAAACATGTATAGAAATCTTAATTTAATGAAGATGTTTTTGAACCATTATTTATAATTACTTAAACTATAAATAGTCAACATACTGCAGTACTGGCAAAAGCATTATCTGTTGCGGAATAAGAGTAGTATTTTTGCCATTGGTGGATATTTTATCACCAAAATTTTTTTTAAATAAATTCTTCAACGAATATAGAGAAATTTGTGTATATATAGGTAAACAGGAGATAGTTGTAAAATTCAGGACCCTTCGTTAAAAACATGAGACTTGGCAGGTATAGGCTTTTATATGACGCTCTAAGTAATCCTGTGAATCTTGGGCTGACTCTGATTAAAATTCTCAGGGTTCGAACAACCAAATGCAGGCCTGAACTCATCCCTCTAACCCATATATTGATTATTGTGAAATAATAAAATTTAGTAATCAAGAGAAAAGGTTAGAAGAAATGAAAACATAACACACTTGAAAATATTTCATTGCATTATTTAGATGTGTTAGCAACTTATAATTTTTTTTGTAAATAAAAAAAAAAGCTTTTTTTTTATTTCAGAAGAATTTTAATAAAATCAGACCTAATTTCAATGAAGAAATTTTCATAAACCTATACACAATTTGCTTTACATGAACCAATTAGATGTGTTTGAAACTTACCAAATCAGTAAAAAGATCTGCATTTGTAAAACTGTACAATAATATATCACCAACCATGGTCCCCATTGCAACTAGACGCAAATTTAAAATTTCTGCATATGCTCCTGCATGGGATCCTCTTACTTTTTTGGACTGTTTCTGAAAAGGATCAAAATCCACAATCAATCTTTACAAAGCATTTCTAAAGTTCATATTTCACTCAACTTATATGTTATGCAAAGTAACATTTTCAAAGAAATTTATATACATGAAATAAATTTAAATTATGAGCTAAAGTAATTCTGCTGTGCAGTTGGGATGATTTATATTGACTTGTAATTATTTATATCTATATTATTCAAACACCCCAACCTGTTCATAAAACATAGTTTAATACATTTTATTAATTAATAACTTAATATATAGTTTTGTTAAAAATAACAATTCCAACTAATTTCTTCAGACAGTGTCAATTTTTTTAAAGCTGTTGTTGTAATACTCTTTAATAAAACATTATTCTTTTAAATAAATCATGCATGATTTAATGCAAGTCAATATAAATTTAGATGTCCCATTAGACTATTCCTACTGTCCTATTAGTTCCCATAATATTCTACATTTTTCTAAATAATGTAAAACATGTTTATTTCGATTAAATTTCTTAATTAAATAAATTAGGAAATGTATTTTGAAGTAAAAAAAAAATTAAAATCTACTTTTTCTAGTTGAAAACAAACTTTCCCTGACCACTCTGTCAGTTATCAGTAAATATCAACTTCTTGTTGTTAAAGATAGCTCTGATATTGCTATTTATATACTACGTAAGATTTTCTTTAAAATAATATTTTCATTAAAATGAGGCCATTGTCCCCACTTTTTCATTAAAAAATTTTATTCTGGAAAACATTCTTTCTACAGAAGCTGTTGCTGTGGGCACCATTACACTTGGGTTTGAGTTTACAACTTCACAACTAACGTTGGGGGAAAATCATCCCAACTAGAATTTATCCAAATTCATCCCTTTCTTTCCTTGACATGCAAATTGTGTGAACACTGATTGCGCTGAAAATTTTTTGTTGTTGTTGTTGAAGGCATCGATAAACGATAGCAAATTCTATCTGTATTAGGACTTGGTCACATAAATAAAAAATTAAATAACTAGTATCAAATAGTTAATATTTCGATAAAAATATTTAATTAAAACTTGTAATTAAGTTCAAGACTTCCTTAATTGAATAATATTAGAATTAGGGATTTCTCAAAATGAAAATACAGAGAATATGCTGTTTATGAAATTCCTGACTTAAAATTCTATACAATTACTGTAATATTGATTGGAAACTATCAACTTTAAAATAAGATAAAGGAGACTAAGCAATAATTGTGAAACTATAAGATTCTACCCTACAAGATGTGTAACTTCATTTATTGATAATAATAAATAAACATATGACACCCAAATTCCTTATCACAAATATTTGACAATGTTAAATTCATAACTCACAAAAACGTTAAGGCAAAACTATCTGCTTTCGTGATTTTTACTTACTACTACTAAACTAGACTCAGTGGCGCAACAGCCCATAGACTGCCAAGGCCTACTGTGTCCATCTCAGTTTTTTTGACATTAGTCTCTGGGGAGCAGATGTTCTGGTTGGCTGGTCAGCGGAATGCAGAACGCCCATTATTTATTCCCAAGTATGCTTGGTACTCATTTTATCGACCCATTGAAAAAAATGAAAGACTCAAGTCATCCTTGCCCTGTCCGGGGATCGAACCCAGGACCTGTGGCACAAAGTGCCACCACTCAGCCACCGGGCATGATTTTTACTGCCTAATTAATTAAAATAAAAAGATACTGATAAAGTAAAATTCAAACATTTCAATTCTTGGTATAGTCGTTTTAAAATCCGCATTTGTTTTCGTAGAACCTGGGATGTTCTGAAAACACACCAAAATATCAAGACAAAATATTTCTTATCAGGAAAACTACTTTTCCTGAAATACCATTTAACAGGTCTCTTTGTCATAAACAATAAATTAAAAAGATGTTTTTTTGAAACATAGAGAATGATAATATCCCCATAATAAATATTAAGTTCAAATTTATTATAATTGTTAATAATGATTGTTGCAATTATAATTGTTCAGTCATTTTAATTGTTAGTAATGATTGTTGTAATTATAATAGTCCATTCATTATAATTGTTAATTCACTGTTTCTAAATTTTCATTTCGGTTTTTCACAAAATTTTACTAAGACTATTTGCATATCAATACAGTATTGATTACCAGATTTGAAAAAGGTCCCCATGACAAAGAAGAGCATGTTGCTGATAAATGGGAACTTGGAGTATATTCTTGCTTTAATACCCCTGTTGCTGTCTCCCAGATTTTTAGGCATCCATCCGGACTTGAATAAGCTAAATACTCTCCACTATCGGAGTATGCTGTTAAATTTCGTACAAGTGGCATAATATAGTTGTTTTCAGGAAAATCTCTATGATTACACACCACATGTGAATAAATACCGAACACGCTTGTAGATGTTTGTAAATAAATTTACGTATGCTTCACTTCAATTGTTTTTTAGTCCCATTTAGTTGTTTTAAGAAGCCCTTCAAATTTCATTAAAATATAACAAAGTAACTAAAAATAATAACTTCTCATAGTTATTTTTAATCAATAAAAATCATAGTTATTATTAATCAAATTGAGTATTAAAAATCAAAGTATAGTTTAACACTAACTACTAATGCATAAGTGAACATGCCTACTACAAAGGTTTAGAAACAGTTTTTGGAATAAGTATTTTTAAGAAAAATAATACAATGAAATGAACATTTCCGAACACTGAATCGCATCTTTTTTCTATCAACCAAGTTGACTTTTTTATAATATATGAACAGCAACTGATTAAACTGTTTAGTGTAATTCTTCAAAACACTATTTCAAAACACTCTTGATATTTTGTTGTTTTTATGGGGGAAAAAAAGAACAAATGCTTTTCGACCTATGTTTTTGATCTTTCGTTCTTTAATAATTATTTTTGGTGACTTGAACAACCAAAAAAATTTATAAGCAAAAGTGGATTAATCTTGCATGCATGATTTCAATTTAGATACTTGAAAAATTCTCATTTTTTCCATAAAAAAAAAATTACTCAAAGTAGTTACGATTTGTATTTTTTAATATGTACTTATTTTATGTTGCTCACTTGCAGTTCATTAAAATCTGGTAATGATTTGGTTGATTTTATCTTTTGTGACTATTTTGTCACTTGGTTACATATTTTTAATTTATCGCAAACCTTCTATTTTTATTAAAAAGAAAAGTACTGTTCTTTTTGTAATTGCACATCCTGATGATGAATGTATGTTTTTCGCTCCCACAATTTTAAGTATTCTGAGAAGAAACTTTGAAGTTTATGTGCTGTGTTTATCATCTGGTAATTATTTATTAAAGATATTTTATAAATTATAATTAGTTGGGGATATTTCCATATCGTGATTTGTTATTCCAACTGTAATCGCCAACGTGCATAATAGATTGTAAATTTTTTAAGAAAAAGCACATAGATGTTTTCCAGGGGTAGATATGAGGTATACCTTTTGAATACTGTGATTTTTTTTTAAATGTTTGTAGTTGTCAAGACTGGGTGATTATTCTGCCTCAGATCATGATACAAAAATCTCCCCAATTAATTTTAAGCATAATATTATCTCGTTTTATTTCACAATCCAGTCACGTTAATGTGACCTCCTGTCAAAAGCCAAAATAACTACTTTTGGCAGAGTTGACTACTGTGAAATGTGAAGGAAGAGAGCCAATTAGGTTCTTCAAGGTGTTCAATAAGATGTTGAGTCATGTCCTCTCCAACCGGGTTCGAATTCCAGCGATGACTAACGGATTCAAATTCCTCACCCAACTTGCACGAACCACAGTACAGGCGTAAAATATCTTCAGTTGTAGACGGATCATGGGTTAGAGTCCCTTTGCCGTCAGGTTCACCGTGAGAGGTTTTGTGGTTTTCCTCCTGATGTAAAGCAAATGCAGTTTAGTTTCATCAAAAAGTCCTCCACAAGGGTAAATTTCTCCTAATACTTGATCCAAGAGTTCCCTTGTGTACTAGAATAGGTTCAAAATTACAAGGCTAAGGAGTTAAACGTTGGTAGTCGTAGACCCAAAATTGGGTCGGCTGTTCGACGGCGGTTATAAAATAAAATAAAACGCCAGCTGCGCTAGGTTACACAGTTGAGGATTGATGGTACGAACAACCCATTCAAAGTGATTCCTCTGATTCTCAATTGGGTTTCAGCCTGAGGAGTTTCATGGCTAGAGGAGTATGGTAAACTCATGCTTGTGCTCTTTGAAACACACTCGTTTGCTACAAGCTGTATGGTATGATACATTGTCCTGTGGATAGACGCGATCTTCTTGAGAAAAAACAATTTACGTGTAGGAGTAAATGGCGTCGTAGCCAATGATCTTGCTCTTTTGGATATCTGATGAATCGCTCTGTTTTTGCAATGTTTTCCGGTTCCCTCGGACACTTTTTTTTATACGTACTGCCTTCTGTGATTGGTTATTTCATGTTGACAGCAAAAGTAGGTGGTATTCACATTAATGTGAGTGGACTGTATATAAGCTTTTATTTAAATATTTCAAATTGCAATGTTTGTTCATATTTGTGATTAGGTGGATACCAGTTTGAAAGTAATGTACGAAAGCAGGAGTTGAGGAAGAGTTGTCAGACTCTTGGAATTCCTGGAGGTAACTTAACAATTATTGAACACAGGTAAAAAATATATATTACTAATCCTCTTGGCTTATAATTACATATCTTCTAGTTTCAAACCTCAATATCACAGGATGTTTAAGTATCTGTATGTACTAACTATAATCACTAAGGTGCCAATAGTTAATTAATATGTCGCATTTAACTTTAAACTTCCAAAAATTTAAAAATTATGTATTGAGGTTTGTTTAGGAGTGACTATAAATTATACTCATTGAGTTGGTCCTTTTTGTTTATTTTTTTTTTCCAAGTCAGTTGTGGGTTTAAGTCTGAAAATCATCAAAAGTTTTTTTTTTTGCCCCAGGTTTCAATGCTACGATTTTCACCCATCACAAAATTTGATAAAATTTTTTTTGAATATCATTAAGTAATCTTAATTTAATTTACATACTTGCTATGCTGATAATCGAAGAAAAATTTATTTTAGCCAATTCTGTTTTAGGGTGCCCCTCGATTTAACAAGATATTTTGATCAAAGCTTTTAATTAATGAAATTACTGAAAAATTTAAAATTCTTTCTTGAACATTGATTTTGTAAGACTTTTCTTGAATATTTTTATGAACCATTTCGTGAAGTCCCCAGTGCCGTGCGTGAATTACCATGCTCGAAAAGCAGATGTACGACTCATACATTTCTAAAGTAGAAATGTGTGATTAGGCAGGGTGATCGTATTCCGGGTGTACCTCGTAATTCCGGGTTTTTATATTCTCCTTCTGAGTCTTAAAATTAGGAGCAGAGCGTATAATTTTTCTAGGAATATGGGAGAATTCCACGTTTCTCAAGAGCATTGGTTCTTAGACTGCTGCTAATCAAAAACTTATAATTGGACGAAACTTTTACGGAATTCCTCAAACTAAAAGAGCTAATTCCCACTAATAAACTTCCTTTAACTCCTGATAATGAGACATACACATGATTCTTACATACGCATGATTCTTTCGTCAATGGGCCAAAATCCGCCAATATGATCCTTTTGGTTTGGCGGATTTTCGCCATTTTGAATATTTGGAACTGCACCGGAATCCGCAAATATCGCAATTTCTTATTTACAGGGTTTTAATATCTAGCATCAATTTTTGAATTTATCTAATTTAAAATTTGCACATTCCGATTCATATTCACGTGGTTTAAAAGTAGTACATCGCTGTTTGGTTTAAAAGTCCAGTGTCGCGATATATATTCACGCGTTTTTAAAATTAAATAATGTTATTCGTATTCCCACGAATTTAAAATCCAACATCACAATTCGTATTCTCGCGTTTTCAATGTGTAATATTGTGATCTGAATTCATGCATTTGTAATATCAAATGTCAGTTTTCGTATTTTCACCTGTTTTGAAAGCTATGCTTTGTGATTCGTAATCACGTGTTTTTGAAATTCAATATCGCGATTTTTATTCACGCGATTTTAAAATCTAATATCTCGATCCATATTCACACAATTTTAAAAATCCAACAACTAGATTTTTGTAAGAACTAAGATTTTTTTCTTAAATTAGTTACTATAATAGTGTGATATTCTTCATTGGTAAGTAATTTAATTATAAATCTTATTTAAAAAAAAATTATGTTGAATACAAAATATGTCTGCTATATAAATTAATAATTTGATATCCATTTTTTGCCCATAAAAGTTTCAGGGTTTTTCACTCGCCCCCGATTAGGGTGGTTTTTATTAGCATTGAACAATTTTTTCTCCATCAAATCTTTCATTTAGTGTTGACAGTTGGTGAGGTGCTTGTATTCTTGTTAGAAAAATTACTTTTTTTTACCTGCCTGTCATCATTACTTAGTTTTAAGAACAATTTTCAATTTAAAAAAAAAAAAAAAAACTCAGAATTTAAACTCAAAATTTCTGCTCATTGCTTTTAAGAAATATGTCGGAATCAGCTGTGTGTTTGTAAGTTGTGTATCAAGTGAATAAATCAAATAATATGAGTATAAAAATAATCACCTTACAATAGGGGTGCACAACCTTTTTGAGTGAAGGGCCACTTGCACAGCAGGTTGGCTAACGAAGGGNACCTTACAATATTACATAAGAAATAAAAGCATTCAAATGCAAACATACCTTTGTTACATAAAATAAGTATTTAACTTGTATTGTTTTTGTCAACAGAAACTTTATGTACAAAATTATCATAATCGGATTTTCAAATAATCTGATTACAATAATGTGACATGATAAACAAATCACAGACTTGTGTGTTTTTCGTCACGAAAACAATACTCTCAATTCAAGTCCAGTAATAATCATCTAATAATATAATGTCATAAATGAATATATTCAACTGCATTCCTAACTTTGTTTTCTAAAACACAAGTTTACCATTGAAATTTCATTGCATTGCAATATAACACGATTGAAAGACGCAGCTTTGTCTTGTACACTGTGCAAAATAAAAAAATGCACCACCATTAATAACTTTTGGTCTAGTGATTAGATCTTCACATTCTAGGAATCAATCTTAATGGTTTGAAGGAGCGACCTCAAATAATCAAATCAATTAGTGTAAACGATATTTTAAATTACAGAATCAGACACAAAAACGTACTTTCTCTGTATAAACATGCCTTTTTTGTCAACAGATTCGGATTTCTGACCTCCAAAATATAGGGGTAGTCACAATCTGGGGAAAATGGTCCTAGAAGTTTGGTCGGGAGAGCGGTCCAAAGTTTGGACCCCTTTATATTAATTTTAATTTCTGCATATTTCGCCATCTTTTGAGAAATTTTTAAGCAAATTCAAAAATTTTTGTATACAATTACAAAGTTTGTTCCTATTGTGAAATATAACTTTTTTAGTACATGGTTATTATTTTATTTAATAATAGACGAAAAAAATTTGAATTATAAGGTATACAATTTTTTACTTCATTTTAAATAATGCAATTTTAAATGAAAAATTACGAAAAAAAGAGCAAAATTGGTTGAATAGTTTCTGGAAAATTAAATTTTGAAAAAGTCATATTTTTAAAATACAATTTCTCAAGAACTATTTGACCAATTTTTCTCAAATTTTGTATTTTGCCATGTTACTTTATACATTCTTTACATTCAAATACATTCTTTAAAATTATGTAAAAAATTGTATACCTTACGATTCAAAATTCTTTTGACTATTATGAAATAAACTAATAAAAATTAGGCTTACTAAAAGTTGTTTGACTAAAAGAATTTTATAATTGTATGCAAAAAAAATTTTTAATTCACTTAAAATTTTTTTGAGATATGGCGAATTAAGCAAAAAATGAATTTAGCATTAAGGGGTTCAAACTTTGAACCACTCTCTTGACCAAACTATTAGGACTATAACTTAAACTTTCGCAACTGAAAATATTGTCTGCTCTAATTGATTAACATATATGAGGTCATCTCTTGAACCATTAAGAATGAACCTTAGAACAAGATCCAATCATAAGATCAAAAGTTATTCAGGGTGGTCCGTTTATTGTTTTGCTCACTGTACATCCATCACAATTGAAATTTTTTCTATTGCAAATTTTCTGTTTTTTTTAACAGGTGATAATGCTAATTGGTTTGAATTAGTAGAATTCAATAGTATTTATTTTCTATTTAAAGAATTCTTCTGGTTTATTAGATTTTTACTCAATTTAACCTCGTCTAGTGTTAACTTTTGTTAGTGCGGTCATGAAGTGTTATCTTTTTTTCTAGTTATCAATAACAAGATACCAAAGTATTTGTGGTGTGTTAGGATGTTTGAGGCTATGTTTATAAATTATCATCACTATCAAATCTCCTCTTCCTATTCCTCTCACTAGCTAGTGTTGCATTAAAACACAACTTCTGTATTTCTAAATTAAATGTTGTTAATTGATGTGATGCCATAATAGGCATTACATATCTCCTAGCTTTTAAAATTTACTTTAATTTCATAAATTTTTTTTTTAAATGTTTGTAATCTGATTTTAATTTATTTAAACCAATTATTTAATTTTTAGTACATTTGATAAAAAGCAAATATAAATTTTTTATTCTCTTCTTAACAATCAATGTAATGGCTAACTTTTGAATTCAATACAATACAATACAATACAATAATGTTAAACTAATTAATTCAACGTCACGTCTAAATATAACATCAAAATCTATTTATAACTCTTATTTCTCTTACCACAAAAATGTTTCAGTTACAGGGTTAATTCTTGCTATTTTTTTGGTGATTAAGTTATAATCAAATTATTTCAAATTTATGTCAATTATTCCGTTTTGGCTATTTTATCTTTCGATAAATCGCCAACCATGGATCTCCTCCCATGCTCCTGACTGTATGTTGGGAACTTTACTTTTAGGTTTGAATTCTTGGCCTTAGGACTGGCGGCTTTTGCACTTTGCGATATTGTTTCTAATAATATTTACAAAATAATAAAGCAATAATATTTCTTTAAATGATTTTGTTTAATTCTCTCATATAAAACATTACTCAGTTGTAAGAAATGCAAGTGTATCTGCTACAGCCAAAATATGCTTAAATACTACAATGGTGTTACCTCCCGTATAAATACTGGACTAACCACCTTCACAATTAGTATTACTAATAAATTACGCTTTTAAATATTGAATGTTTACTGCTGAATGTTTATGCTTTTAAATATTGAATGTTTACTGCTGAATGTTTACGCTTTTAAATATTGAATGTTTACTACCTCGTGCAAATGCCACAAACACCACAGTATTTGAAATTTCTATCAGCATTTAATTATTAAAATATAGTTGAGTAAAGTTGATTATTTAGTACAATACAGGTTTTTTTTTGTTATTTGCAGCCAACTTCCTGACAATCCAAAGAGAAAGTGGAATCAAATCAAAGTTGGGAAAATAATTCTGAAGTATTCTTTTAAACTTTCAGCAAATGTTGTAAGTTTAACTCATTCATTTTTAGTATACATTAGTCAGTTATCATTTTGTAAAATTGATTATAATATTACTAAACTGTAAGATTGTAAGTTTAACACTCTTTGGCCATATTTTGTGGAATACTCTATAAGAATTCGTGGATGTGAGAGAGCAGTATTTATTTCCCTCCCTTTCTTGAATTTCATGTTAAATTTTTGAGTTTCGCTTTCTACAATATACTTCCTATTTGTATGCTCGTTAAGTCTGTAGTATCGAAAATCCTGGGGTCGATTGTTGAGCAGGCTTGGAGAAAATTTCATTCTCCTTCAGATCTATATTTAAATTGTGTTTAAAAATGAGTGGTGCTGCCATCTATCCACGAATCTGTGCAAAATCATTATTTCACCCTTCTCTTGTCAAACGTAAGGCCTTTCTTTCTGACTTAAATCACAAGGGCAATGGCTGATGAGCTTGGCATGTTCAAGTGTCATTATGTCATCATCATATTTGTCCAAACATCCCAATGTGGACCAATGCCTTCCTCTGAAGATTTCTCCATAAAGACTTCTAATTTATCTGTGATCTCCACTTATTTTCATTAATTGCAAGAAAATCAGACTCCTGAATCAGCCCATGAATCCAGTGAGTCTAAAAAGCAATATCTTTTTAAATGAATTGTCATCGCTCATTCGAATCACATGGGCCTTCTAATTCATTCTATTTATTTTTATGTATTTAATAATATCTGGTTGTTTATAAATCTTGTACAGTTTAAAGTTAAATGTCCTTCTCCAGTTATTGTTTTCATTTGCACCACCAAGTATACTCAGCAAAATCTTTCTCTCAAATATTGCGATATAATTTTCCTGGTGTTTTGTCATTGTCCGAACTTCTGACGCATATGTCAAGACTGGCCTGACAACAGTTTTAGAAAGAAACACAGATTTAATAAATCTTCTCATTGCATAGTCAGCCCTATTTGCCAGATAGAGTCGGTTTTTTCTTATCCGTAGTAATAATTGATCCTCAGTAAGTAAAACTCCTTACTGTTTCAAATCTATAAGAATCTAGATAGGGGTCTGAGACTCTGTTTCTCGAGAATAACATGCACCAAGTGTCACTAGAAACAATGAAAACGATGATTCAAACGTAGAGTTGCATCATCGTAGAAACATTAAAGTTGAGTTAATGTTTATTGGGAGAATGTGTCATTCTCCCAATTAAACTTGATGTTTAAATAATTATAGTTATAAAACAATCTACGGCAAGTGAGTTTATACATTTAAAAAATATAAAGTGAAAAATTTTTCTTTAATTTATATGGTTAAAGAAAACAAGTTTTTTAAGTACATATGTTTAGTGATTTTGGGAAGTTAATGCAAAAAAAACATTTTCGGTCTAAATTCCACAAAATGTTAATTTTATTTTCAAGGGTTCTTATGAATTTTTAAAGCATTTCTGTGGTGCTTAAAAAAATTTTCTAACCTCTTGGTTGATAAGTATGTATTTGAAGTTGCCCTTCATCCTTGCTACTTGTATATAATTTTTATTCAAATTTCTCAGATCATCTCGTTTGACGAAGGTGGTGTAAGCGGTCATTCAAATCATATTGCCATTTGTGAAGGATTAAAGTGAGTCATTTATGTTTGTTTATCAACCAGGAAATTTTTTTTTATAGAATTCTTATTCATTTTTTAAAATTTTATTTCTTATCTTCTAGGTATTTGAATGCAGAATCATTGATCCCTATAGGTGAGACATATATTTTTTTTAACTCTATTTTTATTAATTTCAATGTGTGTTAGCTTTAAATAGGGCATTTTGTTATAGGTTAAAATATTTTTGGGATTGAGATTGATTTATGAAAATAAGTTCATTTTACTTATGACCTAAAATTAATTTGATTTTTAGGACCTTTCTTTTTTCTTCGTGAGTTGGCTAACCTTTATTGTTACCCACATTTATGCAAACAAAGCCTTCCATTGGAAGTTTTTTTCCTTCTAAAGTTAGCAACAGATGTCTGCACTAATCATAGGTGGGCCCCCCTATGATTAGTGCAGTCCCATCTACATTTTTAAAAATTAATCCAGTATGTGGGATGTATACTCACAGCCTTATAAAAGGTTAACATATAATACAAACTTAACTAATACAAACTTCGTAAACTAAAACTAAATTTTAATTTATTCTAAAAAAAAAAAAATTTAAAAAAAGATTGCATACAAAATACCTGTTTTATTTTCGCAGTTCAATTGTGCATTATTTACAATTTTCGATAATTTTCAGGGAGCATAATTTTTCAATTTCTTAAAATATCAGAAAATCGCTAAATATATCAAATCGCTAAATATATCATAGTGTTATCATTTTTTTTATTTGTTAAAAAGTAAAAAAGAAAAAAATTACTTTTTGTGAAAAATGTAGAATCTGATAAATATCTGTATTCTTTTTTATTTTCCTTTCTTTTGAAACATTTTTACTTTGTATCCATTACACAAGATATACTTAAAATTGTTTCAACCAACTAGATTATTTTATTATGACATAATATTCTGAAGTATCTAATTTATATTGCAGACTGTGATGTTTATTTATTGAAGTCAGTGTCAATATTGCAGAAATATTTTGCATTTTTATTTGCTCTCCTAAATTATCTTCAAGATGAATTTTGTGTCATTTCAAGTTACCAAGATGTTAAAATTACTTGGGTAAGTTTAACTCTTTGTGCCAAAATAGTGTGAACTGCTATTTCTGTATTTTTAAATATGCTATAAAATTAGAAAAGCCCTGTACCGAAATAGAATATTTCTTAGCCGATTTGTTTTGTAAAAATTTAAACAAATAATAAATATAAGACTAAAAAAAATACGATTTTTAAAGAAATTATTTTATTTTAATTAAAAATATTTTACAAGATTTAAATCTGTTCTATATAATTAAATTCTAGATTGTCCAATTATCTTGAAAACCAAATTTTAGATACTAGATTACTAAACCTTCACGCTCTCGTACCACAGGTCTTGGATTTAGTCCTCGGGCCGGGCAAGGTTGATTCAGCCTTTCATCCCTTCAGTGGGTCGATAAAAAGAGTGCTTAGCATGCTTAGGGACTAAGGTTCCATAATTGGCACCCAAACGGAACATCTCCTGTACCCCAGAGCCCATTTTCAAGAAAACTGAGATGGACACAGTAGGCCTTGATCCTCTTTGGGCTGTCGTGCCACTGAGTTTAGTTTAGATAATTAATCTTTCTTCAAAATTATTCTAAACTTTCGCCAGTTTTCCGAAATTGGGTTGTTGCAATTACACTTTCACCTAACTTCAGGGAATTTAAATTTCACCACTTAGGTGAATTTAAAATATTCCCTTTAGATCACGCTAAATAACTTTAACACAAATAAACGACTTATAAATAAAAAGTATGTTTTAATTTTTAGTGTATGAGTCAAATAATTAATTATTAAGTAACACTAATGTTAGTTTAGTTAACTAGGATCTATACTAAACTAAAATTAGTGTTACTTAATTACTATACTTATTAGTGTTACTCTATACTTAACTAGGATCTATACTAATACGACGATAAACGACTTATAAATAAAAAGTATGTTTTAATTCTTAGTGTATGAGTCAAATAATTAATTATTAAGTAACACTAATGTTAGTTTAGTTAACTAGGATCTATACTAAACTAACATTAGTGTTACTTAATTACTATACTTATTAGTGTTACTCTATACTTAACCAGGATCTATACTAATACGACTATAAACTAATACGACAATAAACGACTTATAAATAAAAAGTATGTTTTAATTCTTAGTGTATGAGTCAAATAATTAATTATTAAGTAACACTAATTTTAGTTTAGTTAACTAGGATCTATAAAAAATATTTATTTCTGTTACATAATAAGTATTTGTTATAACAATAAATATTAATTGTTATTATTATAAATTATATATGTATAATTCAAACTAGATGATTTTTTTAAAAATTACTTATAAATAAAAAGCATGTTTTTAATTCTTCGTGTACGAGTCGAATAATTAATTACAAAGTAACCCTAATTTTAGTTTAGTTAACTAGGATCTATTAAATTTTTTTTTAATTCTAATAAATATTTGTTATAATAATTAATATTTATTATTATAAATTATATATGTATAACTCAAATTAGATGATTTATTAAAATTACTCAATCTATTATCCTTTCTATTTCAGAAGTGCATGAAAATCCACTGTTCTCAGTACGTATGGTTCAGGAGGCTATACATAACATTTTCAAGATATGTATACATCAACACATTTAAGAAACTATGATTATTATTGTTCATCTGTGGTCAGAGAAGACTTGGTTCAAGTTAGTCAGATGTTAGTTGTTGATAAAATTTTTAAATCTCATTTTTATCATCTGATAAATTGATGTTGGGTTCGCACAAAAGCATCATTCCATTCTCAACAACACTCATGTTTACAAATGACTCAAATGTAAATAAAATAATTATAAATGTGTGACTTTATTTGTAATGTCAATTATTCAGGTTAACTTATGAAACAATTGTCATATTCTTTTCTATCGCTCAAATTAATAAAGAATCCTCTACTTAATTTATACACTTTTGAAAGTTCGTGCAAACAAAAATCGTTTTTTAATGTAAATCAAAATCGTACAATTTAATGTAATTGCTGATTTGAGGGAACTGAGATGTTGGTAGAGAAAGACTTGCAGGAAGACTCCCAATAATAAAATCATCCATGTGGCTGGTGGTAAATTTAAAGGGCGAATTTCTGACCTTCGCTTTCTCTTTGTTATTTCGACAGAAAAAAAAAGTTGGTGCACGAATTTGGACCAAAATAAATCTTAAAATGTGGTCTTTTTGTGGTGCATTTGGTTGTTGAGAAAGCTTTGTTAAAGGAAGATTTTATGCATTTCATAGTAATTTTATCAATCAATTTACAACTACATTATTTACTTTATAAAAGTACTTTTAGCACAGCACATGCTGTTTTTCCTTAAAATAGGGCTGCACAACCTTTTTGAGTGAAGAGCAAGTTGATTAACGAAGGGCCACAGACATACTTAGTCAAGTTGGTGGCAAATATGAAAATTTTTATATAAACGTTAGCGTTCTAGCGCTAAATTTCTGTATAAAAAAATTAGTATATTGCAGAAAATTAAATACTTTTAATTACTACTTTTCATTACATTTCTATACTTTTCCTAAATTTTTTTTTCTTTTTTATCAATAATTGATTTTGCAAAGTATATATATACATGTACTCACACATATATATTTATTGGATGAAAAATATAAATTTTAAAAAAAAATTTAATGCTCAAAAAATGAAAGTGTATAAAAATGCATGCATATTTTAATGAAAGAAAATAAATAGGGTTTAAACAAATCTATTATAAAACAAGATAAGATTTAATATTTTACATTAGATATTTCGATTTCAAGAATTATTAGAAGCATGTGAATTTTAAAAAAGAAACTTTTTCGTTTCGCTCTTTAATTTAAAAGTGAGAAAACTTTCTCTATGTGCCTAATGGTTTTAATTAAATTTCCAATAGATCAGCAGTTTTGGACAATCACTACCCACTAGATCAGCAGATAATTAAGAGAATATTCAAATATTTCCGATTCTGAATTTTGGTTTTAATGAACCCTAAAAACAAATAAAATTTAAACCATATGTACAAGTTTACCGCAGAATTAATTTTTTTCAGAGAGGTGGGGGGGGGGGATTCATATCATATTTGTGATATCTGTATTGAAATTGTGTATCGAGTTTAAATTCCATAAATGTAAAATTTAGTAAGTAGCCTAATTTTTCAACAACAAATAAGCACTTTTCAAAAAAAAAAAAAACTTTTGATATATTTTTTGAAAATTGTCAGAAATGCAAAATTTTGGCATAGGGATAATTATTACTTATTAGCTATTGTAAATATGAACATTTTTAACATACATTTAAGTTAACATGCATGTTAAAATTACAAGGGTTCAATCCTGTTTTTGAATTATTTTAGCATAAAACTCTTGTTATGAAAATTACTGTCGAAAACTTAAATTTTGGTGTAGAAAATATTTAATAGTAAATAAAAATTTGTCAAATTGCAATTTATATAACCCTTTAATTTGTTTAGTTACTAAAAATAAAAAAACAATTATCATATAAAAAACACTTAACAATCATCCTTTTCTTTACATGCAAAATCACTTTTTATTTACTTTCATTTTAACTTCTCTTTTCCCCAAAGCATACAGTTACAAAAAAAATAAGTTTTGAAGCCCTCTGTACTGCAAGTTCATTTTTCAGTTTTCTATATGACCGAAATTTGAAACTGTTCTTTTGATTGATGCTCAGCTGTATAGACAAGAATGTTGAACTACTAAACTATTGTAACATAATAAAATAACATGTTTTCAGGAAATTTATTCTAATAACTGTGCTAAATATTGATAATAACTTAATTCAACCTTTGAGTTGATTGATTTAAAAAATTATTAACGCATTGAAACAAACATTTATAGTTTTTTGTAAACCTAAATTAGTTTACTTATCAGGAAATATAATTTATTGAAGGACTTATCAAGAAATAAAATTTACCCAAAAATTTAGTCTTTTAATACAATAACTTTTTAAAAATATTTTTGGAAAGTAAAGTTTGTAAAATTTTTTTCTTTTCTTCGTTTTATATAATTCTTGAATAAACGAGCATTTGTTAAAAATCAAAATATAGTGAAATAGTAATAATTTATTAAATTAAAGGTTCCTCTTGTATACTTAAAGAATTCAAACTAATAAATACACAAATTGGCCTTTAACAAGGACACATTTGCAAAGCGACACCCACTTTATAAAAAAAAAAAATTTGTATGAATTTTTTTAGACCGAAAGGTTCCTGCCCGAACTTCTCTCAAAACCTCGTTCGCATGATTAGGCATATTCTGCTAATCTGCATTTAAGAATAAGAACATTAAGAATTAAAAAACTTCTTTTTTTTTTTAAATAATTTGAGATCCCTCAATCATTGGCGACCACTTTAGTTTTGCTTTATCTTAAAAATCTGCCTAAATTGTGGCAGAAAATAATTAAAATCAATATTTAGATTGATAATAATGAACAATTTATAGTTATTACTTGTAATATATTAAGAGTAACATATTTTTAGAAAAACCAATTAATAGTTTAATGATTTTGGCTATATTTTTTATACATGATATATTAATACAAATTATAACTATAGTAGTAATATAATGCAAGTATTGTGCATGATTTAATGTCTAATAACATGTCCCCAATGTTAATAAGAAAAACTTGTCCTAGGTGTTTGATAGATTTTATCAGATTTCAACAATTTTCGACTTAAGTCAAAAACCAGTTTTTCAAAATCCCAAGCCTTTTATTAGGATATGCGCCCTAAATCAATTTTTTATCTTCTTCTTTCTATTATCCTTAAGTTCTTAAATACATAAACTAAATCCCCTCCTCAACTTTAGCTGCCAAAAATGTTCTGAAAATCTTCAACCTACATTCAGAAATATATGGCAGTTATTTATTTTTTTAATTGCTTATTTATTATTCAGTCGTATGGTTGGCTTTATGAAAATAATTATACAACCTAATAGAATAATCACCCAGGAACTATAATTCTAAATTTTCACTGTCTTTTTCCAGTGAAATAGGTTACTTTTCTTAAAGCATTAAGGGTAAACATTTACTTCGGTATAATAATTTCCTTTACTGAATTTAACTTTCACCAATTTGTATTTTTTTACTATCATTGTTTATTAAGAAAAGTTTTAAATTTCAAGAGTAGATGTCCATGTATTTTTAAAAACTTATACCAGAATATTTTATCTACACTATTCAATTTTAGTAAACTGGGCACTCATTTCATTAAAAACGTTTATTTAAACTCAACAAAGTTCTTTATCGGATTTTACAACACATATAAAATATATTTACAAATCGAATAACCATTAGTTCCTAGATTTCTTATTTCTTTTGAAACTTTTTTTCCTTTTCTGCCATTTTTGTCCTTTGATAAATCTATCTCTTTCCATTTCCCACGCAATTTGCTTGACAGCTAAAGAAGGAAAAAAAAAGAAGTATTAGTGATATAAAATTGCATCGATTAAAATCAAACATTGTTTTAAAAATAAAAATATTTTCATACAAGATTTATCTTTGATTTTGAAAGCTTGTCCAGTTAACGTATCTAATTTAGTCCCAGCATTTTCTTCTAGGAGAGCTGAAAACTGCAAGACACAAACAATAATAAATGCAATATATATAAAAAAAAGTGTAAATATAATTTTAATTTAAAAAAGCTATTATAAGCTATTTCCAATAGCAATAAGTGAAAATTGATAAAAAGTTTATTTATTACATATGTCGTCGATCTTTGATATAACGACTTCCGTGTTCGAAAAGGAAACGGATGTTATAACATTAGGTCGCTATATCATGAGAACTACAGGAAATATTTAATAAAATTCACAAATATTGGACTTTTTTGACAACATTATTCTTTTATAATCTTACATCTTTTTATTTCTGTTTCGAGCTATGTTATGGTGTTATAAATTGCTATTTTTGCTAAATAACATGCACCCAGAAAATTAAAAAGTCTGAGAAGAAAGTGAATACCTTTGTGTATCTGTGTTTAAGTGTTCAAATCAATTGTCTCTTAGAATGTGTGTTTACTGATACTTCTTTTTTAATGGTTTCATCTAATTTATCGGAATATGCAAAATTATGCATTTGGGGAAAATTCATTCCTATAAAAAAAGTTTTTTACAGAATGCTGCTAAGAATCATTGAATGAGGTGAATTTGACCAATTTTCAGTGTGTGTGAAAAATTGCAATTATTTTAAAGGAAAAGTGACTTTTCTAATAAAATAGTGATCTCACTTAAAAAAAAAAGGATTTTAAGTGACTTGCTGCTACTATTGTATACGTGGTTTATAAAATGCTCAAATCACACATTGAATTTATGAAATTAATAATTAAAGATGTTATGTTAATGCAAATACTTATTTACTCCTTGGCACTACAACCCATGAAGGACCTTGGCTTCCGTCACCACACAGCTCTACTTTTTTCTATCCTTTCAATTATTAATTTTTATCTTTTTTTAATCGCCCTTATCCTCATCTAATAACTTTTTTTTTGGGAGGTCCAACCTTTCCCTCGAAATAAGTATTTTTTCTTCATTCTGAGTAGTAGTCCAAGTTTCTGCTGCATATGTGACAATGGGTCTAATTATTAATTAATATAATTTCAGTTTTAACTTTGAGAGCAGAGAGGCATTAAACAACTTACATAGTGAAAAGTAACACCTGTTTCTAGCTACCAGTCTAACCTTTACCACTGGGTTTAATTCATTTTTTTCAGTTATAATTGATCCAAGATATTCAAATTCTGTCACCCTTTCAAAACAAAGTTCAGTATTTACTGAACTAAAGGTTAATCAATTACCTCTGTCCACAATATATTTAGTTTCTTTTCCTTGTTGATTAAAAGTCCCACACTCTTGGCCTCCTTTTTCTAATTATTATTTTTTTTACCGCCTATTTCTTTGTTCCTGGTTTCACAGAAATTTATTTTAGGCTGGTATCCCTTTTTTTGAGGTTTCTATTATAGAATACATTCAGCTGATGTTTCCTATCTTAGATTGGTTTCCTACTTCCTGTATTCTGCCTCGTTCAAATGCTTTTTCCACGATGAAATATTTTTGAAATGATCTTCCTCTTTTTCTTTATGGAGCATTTCATTTTGCCTTGTTCCATGAGAAAGTATTTTTTTTTTCAATCATGAATTCCCTGCACTCTCCAGCAAACTATCTTTTGCTGTTTTCAGTATGACATTTTTCCCATTTTACTTCAAGCAGATCCTCCTGTTCAATACTCCAATATTCTTTGTCAATTGTCTCTGTCAATTTTTTTCTAGAAATCTCTTTTTACAATGTAATCGTCCTAAAGCTTTTGTATTTATTTTTTCCTGTTTTTCACCTTTTTTCAACCTAAATCTGGTAATTCTTTGTCTATATTTTGTTACAACAAGGTAATGGTCATTATCTGCACCTCTAAAACATTTAAAATAGCTGATGGTATCATGACATTGTTAATCTGGTTTTTTGCTTGGCCCTCTGGTGATATGCATGTTTATTTATGTATCTGTTTGTGTCCAAAACAAGTCAAACAATTTATCATATTATTATTACATTCAAAATCCACAGTTCTGAGACCATTTTCATTACACAAGTCATGCAAACAGGGATATATAATCCATAAATTGCAAAAATATGAATAATGTTATGATGCTGCAAAACAATATTTTAACCTTTTTTAAGGTCATGGTAAATATACTAACAAGTTTATTAATAAGGTCAATTTAATTTGTCGATGGGAAGCAATTGTCCCACCTATGATTTGTACTGCCATCTTCTGATAACTTTAAAAAATACAAAACAATACCCATGAAGGGCTTTGTTAACATAAATATCGGTAACAGTAATGGTTAGAGAGTGATCAAGAAGAGAGGGCAACACTAGAAGCTATTTTCTCTTGCACTTTATGTGTTTGTTCATTTCTTGAGTTTATTTGTAGTTATTAACAGAGAATTTATAAATTCGGTTATTTTTAAGCATGAAAGTTCAAATTCATGGCTAATTTTTTATGATAGAAAAGGTAAAACTAGGAAAATGCACCCCACCTTTCAACCAAAAAAATAGCACTAAAAATCAAATCAATTTCAGGTAATAAACTAAATGAATGTGTTTTCATAACTCAATTTCAATACTAAAAATATTTAAGCATAAAACTACTAGAAAAAAATGGCCTTATAATGAGTTAATTAAAGTTTTTTAATTATTGTTACAGAAAAAAATGTAAGTATTGACTTTATGATATTATATCAGAATCACAACTCCATTCATTTTTTAATAACAACTTTAGCTACACCCTGTTTTATCAAATGATTCTGTTTTGTCAACAATTTATGTCATGTGATTTATATCATCACCTGAAGTGATAGTGCAAAAATAAGTAATTGAAGAAGCGATTGTATTCAATAAGTAATTGAAGAAGAATGGATTATAATATTTATAATAATCTAATTTATTTAATGCACTTGAAGAAAGAAAAACGAACTTACTTCATCCGCATCGGCTAGTAGTTGCCCATCAGTCAAACTATGTGAAAAGAAAAATAGATTAATTTTAGCTAAGAAATAAGCAAAATGACAAAATTATGAATATAAAAAAAGTTAAGAAAAAAAGAGAGATTACCTTTCACTTTTAGACTTCTTTTTTGGTGGCCTTTTTGATATGCCTTAAGAGATAAAAAAAAAACTTTAATTAAATATTATTGAATTTGTTATTGATAACAATTTTAAAATTAATTATTATTCATAACAGTTTTAAAACCAATCATTATAAAAGTTATTACTTTATTAGTATTGCTTAATGAGACCCACCATTTTAGACAATATTTGGTTGAAATTTTTAACCTAAGAAAAATATTTTAAGGTTTATTTTAATGCACTTACAAATAGTAGCCTAGGTAAAAATGGAACTGAATTTACAATCATTATTCTGAATTTTAAGAACTAATTATGATGAATAAAAATCTATATCAAATAAGTAGAATAGTATACAGACAAGGGTAGTCACTAAGATTTTTTACAAAAAAACAAAAAATTCTTGGTTTTTCAAGCCCTGGTAATAGGAACTGAAGAAAAAATCAAAGCAGCATTTCTCGAAAAAAAAAAATGTTTTTTTTTGGAAGGATAACTGACAAATAATGAGTATGATTTGCTCTACTTAAGTATGATAATAAATATAAGTACTAGAATAATTTCATTTAGAATAAAGGCAAATTTTATTTTGTAAGAATAATAAAATACTATTTTTAGTTTCAGAATTACTTTGTTTGGAACAGTTTTAGCAGTTTCTAACCTAATTTTATTAATGAAATACATAACAACACATAATAGTTTAAGAGTCACGGCACTCTTTGCATTAAAAAGTAAATAAATTGTAAGCATCATAATTAAAATTCCTTGAAACCAATAACTCATTTAAATTTGTGATGAATTTCCGTTATCAAATAATTTTTAAAGTATGGATTAAATAATTTGAAACCAAAAACAGGGTGAATTATTCACTTAACATTTTTGTATATACTTTAATTGATGATCAACTAAAATGTGAATTAGTGGATGGTCCTTAAATTTGAACTATCAAATTTTGCAACTTTTTAATAGCATTATTAATTAAAATAAAAAGGTATTGACTCAAAATTCTACATCCTTAGATTTTTCAAAATTTAAATTTTCAATAAATAGAATTTTTGATATCAAGAAGCGTCTCCCTTTAAGTTTGTAATAGCGAGGCTTGGTTTTATTATGTTAAAAACATAGTCTTAATCTTGTTTATCAGATTCAATAGCCGATGGATATAACCTGCAAAAAATAAATAACTGAACATTTCATACATTTTTTTCTTATTAAATTCTTTCAGGTTTTCCTCCTTTAAATTAACATTTAACTTTCAAAACACAATATGGCTTTACCTCCAACAAAATCCTCTTCACACAAATCTTCTTCATTCAGATCATCAAATGCATCATCTTCAAATTCAATTTCTTCATCATCCAAATCACCATCAAAGTCTTCATCTTCATCATCATCAAGAACGTCATCAGGCTCATCATCTGAATCTTCGACTTTTCTTTTATTACCTTTTTGCATTCCTAATTCTTTAGCAAAGTCTAAAGTATCTTCCCCATCATCTTCCGGATGAATCTAAAATAATCAATTATATGAAAAACTTACTCTGTGAAGCTTAAATATGAATTTCTAATAAAATATACGATAAGTTTAATAACCGAACTCATTTAACCGGAATGTTCAAATACTCACGAAAAAAAACTTTTTTATATTTTTAAGTAAGATTTTTTCATAATTAAGATTATATTTATAAATTCGAATTTTGAGAAATGGCTGATATCAGCTTGGATAGACTCTTGTAAACTATTTTTCAAGACAAATATCAGACATACAATGGCAGTTATGCAGAGAAAGCTGAACTTAGTATGATAACATAAAACTTTAAAATCGTGGTATCCAAACTAAATAATTAAAATTAACAATTAAAAATAACATATAAAACAAACTAAACAATTAAAATTACAAATTAAAAGATTTATTACATTGAATAAAATTTAAGTTAAATTATAAAATTAAAATATTTTTTAAAAATATATTCACTTTAAGTTAAAATGATTTATCTGTTAGCTGTTTTAAAATCATATCGTAATAGGNAGAACTTTCGTACACCAGAACAAGTCACTGAACCACCAACTTGTCTTGCAATTTCAGCATAAGAGAGGCCATTTTCTCTCAATATGACAATTCGGCTTCTTTTTGTAGATGTCCAATTAGTTCTTCTTGTTGATGACATTGTTTAAAATTAGTTTAATTAAAAGAAAGGACTTTAAAATTTAAAAAACAGCAATACTCTATTTAATTGTACTAGTATGCATCATTCCGCAAAATATTTCCACAACAATAACTCTTTTGCCATCCAAATAACCTAAACTATAGTTACAGACATTTGATTGGTCCTAAGAACAGTGTTTGTGATTGGCTAGTACGCTTTTATTACAAAACACGTCTTTATTCAAAACGATTTATGTTTGTTTGTTCTACTAAAATAGACATAACTTTTCTTGTAATACAGATATTTTAATTCTGGTTTTGTTATTAAATTTCACATTAAATTACCTTCAATTTGATATATAAACTTTTGTATTTAAGTGAAAATTAATATATTCTACAAGCACACAAAGTTGAAAAACATGAAACTTTCAAAAAGTGTCCACACTTTTGGCCACCACTGTAACAAACTAAAAATTTGTAAATAAAGTGCTTCACTAATTTTAATTACAACTAAATGCTTAAAAATTAATTAGTGAACGAACCCTCAGTTAACCATTTAAAAAATTATGCGATTAGTGAATAGTAATTGCATAAAAATAATTTTAAATGCACTGTACAAAAATATTTCAACTTAGTACAATTCAACTTATATCTATCATACAAGATTTGATTTATTCTTCTAAAAATAGTAAATAAGTATATGACCTCCAATTCTCCTCGATAAAATTTCATCATTAGAAAATTTATTTAAATTAATCCTATAAAATCTGAAACAACAAATTGATTATAATACATAACATACTTTAATCACTTTTGTACAATTTATGGATGGTCCCCAGAGGCAACATATTAAATTCAAGCAATTTCAGAATCATCTGAAACAGCAGCTTTCAATTTATTTTTGGTTATGGAACCTTAAATGACTGAAAATTTCTGGTGGAATAAAGTTTTAATAAAGTTATTTAGCAACTGTGAATCTGTTGGGGGAAAAAAAAGTTTGCTGATTATTTTGAAAGTATTTAATAAGAATGATTTTTTTTAACACTTTACAAATATATTAAAATTAAATTCAAATTATGCTTAAAATTAGGTTTAAAGACAAATAATGTAAGTTTAATTTCCGAAGTGACAAAATTCACAATTAATGAACACTATTCTTGGATTTATTTATCATACTTTGAATTAATATTAATGCATTTCTTTTATAAATGTGGACATATTCAATATATTGTTATTGGAAGAAATATTTTTCTTATTTTTTTGTTCACAACTTTTTGCCTATATATTTTCATAAAAACAAAAAAATTAAATAATTATGGATGTTGTCAGCTATCATTACACGCATTTATTTGTAATTATTTTTCACTTTCATGTCTACTTTTTAGAGTAATATTTTTCTACTTTTTAGAACATATTTAGTTCTGAACTCGTTATCTCGAAATTTTTTGAGTGTCTCTTTAACTTTGAGACACCGAGAGTATACTATAAATATAATTACAGGTTTCAAAAATCGTTACTGGGTAAGAAATCCTTTCTCTCTGAACCCTGAACTTTTCTGGGGACTCCCAAGGCTCACAGAAACATCTTTTGGGAAATGCTGTTCCGAACCTTATAAAAACAAATGCTTACATTGTCAAGTAACTGTTCAAACTCATCACTGCACACGCTATCAAGATCCGAGTCTTCTTTGAGGGATTTAGCAGTCACGGTTCTATTACGCAAATACTGGTAGATGAACTTCTCATCCTCAGGTATTTTTACAGACTTCTGTTGGAGATACTCGTTGCTGGTCACGTGCAGCTGCTTGGATGCAGATGCTTTGAACTTTCTGCTCCCAAACACTCTGGTCGTTGGATTCATTTCCAAACTTTCTGAGATCTTTTTTGGATTCCTGTACACAAACCGGTCCAGAAATCGAGCGTTGGTAAAATCGAGTAGTGGGTCGCCGCCGTATTTGATTTCTGATGAATTGGACACTTGGTTAGCGAAGAGGGAGACAGAAGGATGAAAGCTCTGTTTCAGGAACACAAGTTCCCACATGGCTTGGCAGTTTGGGTTGGCATGGAGGGGGTTTCGACAGTCCAAATCGTAAACTGATTTAGTTTTCTGTTTTTTGGATTCGTGCTTGTGAACCCAAGATGATCCAGGTTCATGCTTTTCAACTTTTACAGTAACTTTGTTGTCTTCGTTCTGAAATTTAATTTTTTTCACAATTAAAACTTAATGTATGTTTCAATCAATATAAAATTGTCAAATAAGGAAGTTCTAAGTCTACAAGCGTTTAAAGGCATTGCTTGTGAAAAGTGTCTATTTCAGAATATAAAAGCATTTTGTAGCATTCTAAATAAATTTTTTACATTGAAATTTATAAAGCCAAATAATACATAAAACCATAATCTCCAACTGCTACAGAATTTCGATAGTTTCCAAAATATTTTTCCAACAGGTAGGAAAGGTACTTCAGTGATATTTTAATAAAATTAAAATTTAAAGAATTTTGTCCATCACTACATATATAAATAATTAAAACAGATACGTAAAAGGTCTAACAGATGAATTTTCATGTTCTTATGCACTATAAAAATTTAATTTATGTTTCAATTCACTACCGCAGAAAAATATATAGTAAGAACTTTAAATAATAAAAGGTTTATAAAACTTATTTTTATTAAAAAAAATTGATAGGTTTTCATAAACTTAGGAAAGTACAGTTCAATCTATACATTCTGTTGCATAACAATCAAACAGATAAATAAGTTGTGAAAGTATTTCATAATTTGAGTCAGAAGAAGCAAAAAGTGGAAGGATACAATTGATAACAAAACTCAAAATCAAGAATTCAGGAGAAAACTCAAAATATTTTCCCGAAAATCAGGATTACTTGGCAGGTATGGTCACTGAAAAAAGTCCTAATTTTAAAACAAAGAAATGAAAGGTACCTTACACAGGGAACCAACTTTTTACAATGAAAATCTTTAAATATATAGGCTAGATGCTGCAAAATGTCACTTTTAAAACAATAAAGCATACTAAAATTAATAGAATTACTTACAACTTCAACTACATCTTCGTAATGTTCGTCACTATCCGAATCATCAGGAATCGAATGTTTGATTTCTAAAAGGTTTGGATGTAACTTATTCACTTCAGATATTAAAACTAATATTCCACATTGAAGATTTGGAGGTTGGTAAAGTGCTATCTGCAAACAAGAGAAAAAGACAAATTCATTATTTATGGGTTTTAAAGAAAAAAAGAACAGAAAATGAAAAGAGGAAGGTTAAATTACCTGCAATAAACGTTTTACAAATGCTTTTATTCTTACAACAGCAACATCTTTTTTTAAGGCTTTGTATACAAGATTTAGAAAAAAAGCTTGTTTGGAAGAGGTTGCTAAAGACGTGTCTAAGAGTTTTCTGTATAAAGCACCATAGAATCTATCAGATACTGAATCACTAGAATCTAATACCTAAAACAATGTACAAAATTATCAAATCATATTTATAAAGGTAATATACAGCTTATAGGAAAACATGTTAAATGACACCCAATTATAATCAACAATAAGAAATTAATAATTTTCATCAAGTCGTCTAACCTGGTTTCAAAAAGTGATCTAGTTAATTTTATCTTTGTAATGTTTGTATAAAATAAAATCTTTCAAGTCATTCAACCCTATAGCAGAATTTTCTTTGGCTTTCTGCGACATATCTCACTAGCACAAATAATTTTCTACAAGATATTTTTTTAAAAAAAAGACATACATCAATATAATAAAACCAAAAGCAATTTTTTTTAAAATTTTGTAACTTTGGTCTAAATTTTTCTTTTATTTAAAAGATTTCTAGAATTTATCTCTTAAATTAAAAAATAATCAAGAAGACTTATTATTAACTTCTTCTTTTGCAATGAGCTAAAACGAAAATCAAAAATTTTTTTCCCCCAAATAAAAATCTTTGCGCAAAGTTTTTTAAATATAAGATGATGTCCTGCAACAATGTCACTTTGTCAAATCAATTCTGCCACGGGGTCATTCAATACACAATAAATCAATTATTATTTTAGGTGTGTTTCCAAATTTTTCAGATTTTATCCTCATAGCTGCTAGCATGGATAAGAAAAAAATCCAGTAGATATTTGAAAATAATATATATTTCATGATAACTATTGCATAATATATTAAATATTTAACAAAAGGATTTTTATTTCCATCAAAATACAGAAACTTTATCGCACTAATAACTATAAATGATCTGGAATATTTTATATTTATGATTGACATTGAACAAAATTTTTAATTATGTTAACTCATTTTGAATACTATAAGACAAGTAGTTTATTACTGGTAGTTTAAATTTTTTTTTATTAATTTAAAAAGGGAGTTCTGAATAAAAATGAACTGAAAATTTTAGGAAAAAAAAGCTTAAAACCAATTACTATAAATAAAGCTCGCTTCATTATTTATTAGTAATACTTATTTAAATATTCTAGCAAGCATTAAATTCTATTTTTATAGGGATTTTTTTTCAGGAAGCTTACTCAACTTTAAGGAAATTTTTGAAATGTACAAAAATCAGGAAAATTTTTATGAAACCAGTAGACCAAAAGAAACTGGTAAAATCCAGTTGAGTTGGCAACTATGTATCAGAATGTTGCACAACTTCTTAAAAACTTAAATGCTCACAAATGTAATATTCAACACGATAGCATGTTATGTATAATAAAAAAGTTTATGCCTCAGTTATTTCGAAATACTGACAGAATGTTTTAAATATGCACAACTAACACACTTCCTTTAAAGTCAAGTAGCATAATGAAGGATGGCTCACTTGAAATATTAGCATCAGTGCTTGAATGCTTATGTTGAAGCTGACCAGGTGGACAAGCCTGTACATGGCATCCATTTGATCCATGACAATATTGTCTCGAAGTTTGGCATAAGGGTATGCCCTGGCTACTCCAGATAATAAGGCACTCATCATTTTATTGTTCACTTCACCCTTTTTAACAAAAAGTTTAAACTGGCTGAAATAGATCAGTATTAGCTGATTGGCTATCTTGAAGTCATCGTGGCTCAGAATTATCTGAAATAAACAAAAAGTTTCAGTTGAAATATAGAAAATGTTATGTGGAAAATGTTTATATGCAAACACACATGCATAGTAAACGCGTACATATGAAGTAAAATTAAATATAATGAATTTAAACAATTGGGTTTACTTTCTGGAAACTTTTTTGTTGTAAATAAGTGTAAGTTAGGCTTAAATAAATAAAAGTCACATGAGGAATAAAAAAAAATTTCTTTGTTATCAGGTAATTGCAAAGGGTATGGAACTAAATCAAATTTAACACATCTAGTAAGAGTACACACATAAGTGAACATATTTACATGTAATAAGTGTATGTCAGACATAAATAAATAAAACAGTCACATGAGGAAAAAAATACTTTTTTCGTTATCAGGAAATGTCAAAAGGTTTGGAACTAAATAAAATATAACACATTTTCGTTAAAAAAATTAACTCATCAAAAATTTAGTTTTAGACATTTTCTAATGCTGACTGCCAATGTTTTATGCCAGAGGCGTCTTTGGGGTTCAATGTTGAAGAGGGGTGAAATTAAAAGAGATTTCGAAATTCTACATACAACATAAACAATTCTTATGTCTGTTAAACATCCACAAAAAAAAAAAAGGAATTTTCTTCCTTTTGTTTTTATCTTTCATACATTAAATCGATGATGATTCATAAAAATTTCTTTACTTGTCTGAAACTATTGTTGGGGACCCTCCACTGTGCTCCAACAACACTCACGTTTTATGCATTTTTGTAAAGAAAGTAGTATATGATTTTTTTCCAAAGCAAGCCATGTGGACAGTTTTGATTTCTTTTGCATAATGAAACCGTTTCTTGCTTTTCTCCTTAAAGTTGCGTTGTTAAAAACAACATAATTAAAAATTTGAATTAAAAAATTAAGATAATCATTTGTGCAGTTTTTTGCTTGTAATACAACAGTAATTTAAATAGTTTACACTTAATTTGAGTGTCTCACACTACGTTAATTTATTAGTCAGATTCAGCTGCAATCTTACAAGACACAAAGCATGTATTTTTATTTATTTTTATAATAGTAAAAAAATAATAATAATAAAAAAATACATAATTCAAAATTTTTTTCCAGCTATTTATATTTGCAGTTAAGCCTAATTTTTTTACGTCTTTTTTAGCTACTGAATGCCTAACATGAATAGCAAGAATGGGATAAGTTGAGTAAAAATAAATGCCTTATTTAAAAAGGGAAAACAAATTATTGCAGTATTGACTTCCATTGATTTTAAGGCGAAAACTAAGTGAGATGGAAAGGTGTGATTTTTGTCACTTCGGCAACATTCCACTTTAATATTGCTTGGATTAGCAAAATGATATAAGAGGGGGAAAAAACTACAGGGAGTAAAATGTAGTTCATTGATTTCGATACATTTAAACTCCATAATGTGCTACATTGTTCAACAGCTTATTTTTCTAGAAATTAATAATTTTATTTTCCAAAATCCTGTTTTTAACTTAAAATATTCTACATTCAGCTGTAATGTTTAGATGCAATTTTATCATAGTTACTGTAAATTTTTTCTTGAATACTATAAACAATTTGTCGATATACCATAAACAATTAATTACAACAAAAACAAAACAATAGACAAGAGCAGATAAACATCTTGCAAATACAAAGAGAACTTACAATATAAATAGCAAAATTGTGATTATAAGCCAGTTACTTCCTCTATTAATAAAAAGAGTTCTAATATAGGAATTATTAGAGGAAAACAGAAAATTGTTAAACCGTTATAAGGCCATGAAAAATATACTTTGTCACCAAAATTTATCATCTTTCAAATGTTAATGTGAAGTTTTTTTCCCACCTACAATTTGCACAGCCATCTACTGATAACTTCGGAAAATAGAAAAAAAAAAAAATTATTTACATAAATGTGGCTGATAGTAAATCTTAGGAGAACAAGAAGAGACGATGGCACTGTGAAGTTATTTCACTTGTGTGTTATGCATTCCTTCCTTTAATCTTTTTTCATCAATATAATTTCCAATTATGAACACAGAATTTATGAATTTTGCTATTTATAAGCATATATGTTCAAGTTTATTGCCGATTCTTAGAGGTTGGTAAAATTTTAAAAAATCTTCTCTCACCTTTTCACTAAAAAAATGGACTTAAAAATTAAATTAATTTGAGGTATTAAATAATTGAATTTTATTTTAAAAATGAATTGCAATCTCAAAAATATTTTAGCCTAACGATACTTGAAAAAAGTGGTTCTATAATTAGTTAAAAAAAATTTAATTTAAAACTGAAATTTGGCTTTTTTTTCTTCAAAGGAGAGCTTATTCCTTATTAGATTAGATAAGAACTGGCTTATGGATATTCTCAACTATTTATATGTCATCAAAGATAATCAGCTGAACAAGCTGATATCAAATACTATTTGAAATAATACAAATTAGCTAATCATAATGAATTAAATGAATAAATAAAAGTTATTAATATACTTGTTTTTATATATTATGTCAAAAGTAAAAACTATTATCAAGGTTATTGAAGTTACCTGATTTAAAAAGCAGAGTGAATAATATTTGGCTCTTTCAGCTAAATTTTGACGAAATATTAATCTTTCAACTTCTTGTACCACAACACTTTTCATGTGTTTGTGAGTATTGAGGAGCTTTCCTAGTAGAAAACATACATGTGAGCCTATTTTAGGAATGGGATCACCTATTTTGTTTACCAGATGATCTAGCAGAAACTGAAAATGGAAGAAAAAAAAATTAATTAATACATTATAGTCCATAAAAGGAAATGAAATAAATTTAAAGGTTTCTGTTTTATATACACTGGTTATCATAAATTAAGGAAAAATCACAAAAATAGCGATAACTCTTTCAAAAGTAAGCCAAACCGTGCAAAATTTGCATATGTTGTCCACTANAATGAAATAAATTTAAAGAAGGTTTCTGTTTTATATATAATAAAAATTCAATATAGCAACTCCACAATGTTACAAGAAGTCCGATATTTTGCCAAATTTCCAAGTCATTCTTCAAAATGTTTATAATAAAGATATAAAAATGAAATATTTATAATGAATTAGAAATTAATAGTTTTAGGCTATTATGACAAAATATATTTTAGAGAAATACATTTTTCTGCTGTTTAAAAGAGCAATATAATACAAGAAAGGTTTAAATGAAAGATATTTGTATTTATTTCTGATATCAATGCAAAAGTTTAACCTCAGTTAAGTTACTTTCTTCCTGACAAAAAAAAAAATTTTTTAATCTACCTTTTTTAAGAACTCTTGTAGCGTATTTAGGAAGAGTAGTCCATTTATTGACAATATGGTCAGGTCAATCAGGTCCTATTTCAAGATGATTATTAAAAATTTTGCTATAAAATATAAGGTTTTCTGATAAGATATTAAATTTCAGGCAGTAGCCTGGAAAAAATAAACTCTGCAAAGTTTATTTTATCCCTCTTACACAGAATTTTTTTTTTTTTTTGGCACATAATCCATAGTGGTAAGGTTTTGTTTTTAAACATATCAGAATTATCATTTTGACATAAATTATTATGTTCTCTTCGCAGTATCGATTCATTAATCGGGTTTAATGAATCGAACTTTCTGAAAATTTTTAAAACCAAAACCAATTGTCTCTTTACATGAATAAGAATATGAAGAAAATAACATGTACTATAAAGCATAGACTTTAATTTTTAGAAACCTTACACCTAATTATTAATTCTGACAAAATGAAAAAGCTAGATAAAAATAGACTTACTTGTTCTTCTTCAGGATTTTCCTCCAACAACTTATGCAGAACACTCACAGCTTTTATTTTGGTCTTCTCAATAGTATCGTGGCTCACTTTATCAACACTAGTCAAGAACTTTTTATACAGACCTTTTAGGATGTTCTCAAACAGCCAAAGAATAAGGCATCTCTTCCTTGTGGCAGAGTCTTGGCAAATTTCATTAATTTGTGACAGAGGTTGCTGTGTAAAGTAAAACAAATCAGCATGTTTTTTAAATTAATAATTTAAATTAAAAAACTATGGTTCAAAGTATATGTTTTAAAGTATAATTCCTTACAGGAGTATTCTTTTAATACAGTAAACGTGTCACATCAAAATGGAATGAATTGGTTGAATATTAATAGATATTCACACACACAAAAAAAGTACTAATCAGTTATAGGGACCGTGTGTTGGCCACTGCTTTGAGTCGCCATCCACACTAACAATTGACCTTATGACTGATAAGTACAAATTGTAATGTTGTGAGGCATTGTCAACAAATATTGACACTTATCAATATATCAGGATATTTTTCTCCTTTAACTAATTTGTGTTACCTAAACATTGATCAATATTTACAATAAAATTTAGTAACACTCATAATAATATCTTATTCTATAATCATCACTATGAATAATAATTATCATATTATTTTTCTGTTATGTTATCAATAATGATCATGATATTGTTGCATTTAATACATTTATGAATATTATCAGAAGCTTGTAATCTGTGTAAATCTGAATATGGCATTGTTCCTATGTCTTGGCAATCTTGTTTTTATGGGTTCTATAAACGATAAGAACCGAAAGAAAAAAAAAATTATAAATAATCAGATTTAAAAAAATGTAAATCCTACATTACAGTTTTTATTTAGAACAGAACTATTTGTGCCACCATCCCAGCAGAATAATTTTTATAAATCTGTTTAAAATTCTGTTAGCAATTTTTATTCAATTATCTAGGCATTTATGCCTAATTTGATATTAACTAACTAATATTTATTTTATGACATTTTGAAAAATAAAATTGCTTGTCAGTTAAAAAATTAAAATTAGAGAGAACTGTTTATTTTTAATATTATCCACAGCACATTTACAATTATTAAATCTTGTGGCAGAACATTAATTAATTCAGCTTTTGGGTGAAATTTCATGAAACTATTGAAAAATACAGTTGTCTAAAATAATTGAAATCAGATCAACTTGGGACAATAAAAATATTTGAATTATAGCGGAAGCATCAATTATTTTATCCTTAAAATTTGAAAATCAAGGTCTTATCAATAATAATACCAGGAGGTATTTAATTTTAAATTGTTATTTTCAGTTGTTGAATAAACCTAGTTGAAATTATAATAACACACATCTTGTTTTACATAAATATGGATGACAGATTTAAATGAATATTATATACAGTTTACTCTTGACATCTCAAAGTTAAAAGAGATACTAAAAATTTTTTGAGATAACGAATTTTCGAGACAGAATTTTTCAGAATTAAAATGTTTCAAAAAGTAGAGTAAGAATAACTACTAATATATATTTATGTATTGATAGCTGATTGTAAGTCTAAATACAGTAATGATAATTTTATTTTTAAAAGTAAGACAAAAATAATTATGCATTAAAGAGAAAATAATTGGTTTACAATACTAAACAGTGTGATTTTTCTGAAAAAAAAAAAAAAAAAAAGAA